GTGTTTGTGTGTATGTATGTGTGTGTCTATGTATGTGTGTGTCTATGTATGTGTGTGTATGTGTGTGTATGTATGTGTGTTATGTGTCTGTCTGTGTCTGCATGTATGTGTGTGTGTATTGTGTATGTGTTTGTGTGCATGTATGTGTGTGTTTGTGTGTATGTGTATGTCTGTGTGTATGTGTTTGTGTGTATGTGTGTGTATGTATGTGTGTGTATGTGTTTGTATGTGTTTGTGTGTTTACGCTCGCATTACACAAATGTGTTGCTGGTCTAAGGCGTTCCTCGCACAGCATTGCCGCTTTATTATTTCAGTCGTTTACTGCCTTACGCACCCTCAAAGTCGTGTGTGTCTGCAGCAAGCGCGTGTATGTGTACCTATGGACGCGCGCGCGTGTGTTGTGTAGGGGGAACGGTAGTGTAGTGCTTAGCGTGCTGCCTGTGTGTGTGTCTGTGTGTGTGTGTCTGTGTGTGTGTGTCTGTGTGTGTGTCTGTGTGTGTGGTGTGTGGGGAGCGGTAGTGTAGTGGTTAGCGTGCTGTCTGTGTGTGTGTGTCTGTGTGTCTGTGTGTGTGTGTCTGTGTGTGTGTCTGTGTGTGTGCGCGTGTGTTGTGTAGGGGGAACGGTAGTGTAGTGCTTAGCGTGCTGCCTGTGTGTGTGTCTGTGTGTGTGTGTCTGTGTGTGTGTCTGTGTGTGTGTGTGTGGTGTGTGGGGAGCGGTAGTGTAGTGGTTAGCGTGCTGTCTGTGTGTGTGTGTCTGTGTGTGTGTCTGTGTGTGTGCGTGTGTGGTGTGTGGGGAGCGGTAGTGTAGTGGTTAGCGTGCTGTCTGTGTGTCTGTGTGTGTGTGTCTGTCTGTGTGTCTGTGTGTGTGTGTCTGTGTGTGTGTCTGTGTGTGTGCGCGTGTGTTGTGTAGGGGGAACGGTAGTGTAGTGCTTAGCGTGCTGCCTGTGTGTGTGTCTGTGTGTGTGTGTCTGTGTGTGTGTCTGTGTGTGTGTGTGTGCGTGTGTGGTGTGTGGCGAGCGGTAGTGTAGTGGTTAGCGTGCTGTGTGTGTGTCTGTGTGTGTGTGTCTGTCTGTGTGTCTGTCTGTGTGTCTGTGTGTGTGTGTCTGTGTGTGTGTCTGTGTGTGTGCGCGTGTGTTGTGTAGGGGGAACGGTAGTGTAGTGCTTAGCGTGCTGCCTGTGTGTGTGTCTGTGTGTGTGTGTCTGTGTGTGTGTCTGTGTGTGTGTGTGTGTGGTGTGTGGGGAGCGGTAGTGTAGTGGTTAGCGTGCTGTCTGTGTCTGTGTGTGTGTGTCTGTGTGTGTGTCTGTGTGTGTGTGTGCGTGTGTGGTGTGTGGGGAGCGGTAGTGTAGTGGTTAGCGTGCTGTCTGTGTGTCTGTGTGTGTGTGTCTGTGTGTGTGTGTCTGTGTGTGTGTCTGTGTGTGTGTCTGTGTGTGTGTGTCTGTCTGTGTGTCTGTGTGTGTGCGCGTGTGTTGTGTAGGGGGAACGGTAGTGTAGTGCTTAGCGTGCTGCCTGTGTGTGTGTCTGTGTGTGTGTGTCTGTGTGTGTGTCTGTGTGTGTGTGTGTGGTGTGTGGGGAGCGGTAGTGTAGTGGTTAGCGTGCTGTCTGTGTCTGTGTGTGTGTCTGTGTGTGTGTCTGTGTGTGTGCGTGTGTGGTGTGTGGGGAGCGGTAGTGTAGTGGTTAGCGTGCTGTCTGTGTGTCTGTGTGTGTGTGTCTGTGTGTGTGTGTCTGTGTGTGTGTGTCTGTGTGTGTGCGTGTGTGGTGTGTAGGGGGAACGGTAGTGTAGTGCTTAGCGTGCTGCCTGTGTGTATGTCTGTGTGTGTGTGTCTGTGTGTGTGTGTCTGTGTGTGTGTCTGTGTGTGTGCGTGTGTGGTGTGTGGGGAGCGGTAGTGTAGTGGTTAGCGTGCTGTCTGTGTGTCTGTGTGTCTGTCTGTGTCTGTCTGTGTGTGTCTGCGTGTGTCTGTGTGTGTGTCTGTGTGTGTGTCTGTGCGTCTGTGTGTGTGAGGAGCGGTGGGTGTAGTGGTTAACGCTACGCTGCGCTACCAACCCGGCGAACCCAGTTCGATTCCCGCTCATGGCCACCACCGGTCAAGATTATTTGAACCTCCCCTAGGTCGAATCAGCCTCAAACGAGTAACTGGTGTGGAGTATTAACATCGCCACTGGGGAGACAAAGGCGGCTGGCCGTGGTGGATACAAGTCCCGGGCGAAGCCGGGTAGTACAGCTAGTATTTATTTAAAGTTGCGCATTTTGATGTGACGTCACATTTCTCACCCCCTCCCCCGTCACACATCGTCACAAATGTCTGACCCCCCCCCCTAGGTGCGTGACGTCATTTATGGACGGCCCCTAACGGCGTCCGGGGCTTGGACATGGAAGCGCCGTTGAACGATGCCGGAGTGACGCCGGATGTGTGGCGAGCGGTGGCGCAGCGGTTAGCGCTACGAACCTGGCGACCCGGGTTCGATTCCCGCTCACGGCCAACACCGGTGACGATTATCTGAACCGGTCCTGGGCCTCCCCCAGGTCGCGGTGTGTAAACATCGCCACTGGAGAGACAAAGGCGGCCGGGCGTGGTGTTGGCCACTCACCCCCTCGTGTGCCGTGCCGGCCTTCATAGGTGCTCGCTAACAGCACTTGCCCCTACCATCTGTTACAGGCTATACGGGGGATCTTTGTCTTTTTGTTTTTCCATCCGTCAGTCATCTCGGGGAGCGAGCCAATGGCGAACCTGGGTCTGTCCCGTGACCTCTTGTCAGCGAGCATTCGACACTTCACGTGGCCACAAAGTGCACCCAGCCTGGCACAAGCGCTGTGGTGATGTCGACACTACTTAATAACGAATGGTGGCTGTTGTCTATAATAAAGGTTGTTGTTGGGTTAGATCGTGTAAATATAAATTTGTCGTTAAACCCGCCACTACCCGACACAGCCAATTAGTAAGGTTTGGCAGCTCAACAAAACGTGCCAATTCGTTACTACTTCAGCAAACTGGTATGTTGGAGGATAAACCCACAACGTAGTGGTGGCGGGTTTAATAACAGGGCCCATGGCAACATGCTGCGTCACTAGTCAGGGGTTTACACAGCACAGAACCTCCATCGTTCCGTCTGTGCTGCTGCCCCTATGGAATTATCTCCCCCTAGCCATTCGTACCTATGCCGACGCCTTGGCATTGGTCCGAACTAGCAGGCAATGCCGTGTCACTCCTGGGAATTAAAATATCCTGGCTAGACAAAATAAACTTGGTCACGTCCAGGCTCATTAAATGTGCGTATGTCTAATAAACTTATTTCGCACCGTATGTAGCCAACCGTGCTAATCGGAGGTGCCAATGACAGTCTCCTATCAATTATGTCTTCAATCACACCTTACCTTGAACATACTGTATACTTACACCCTTTTCCAGTGGTTCTGCCTTACGTACATGTCACCCAGTGTCTTGAGTTGGAGCTGCACATGGATGCTCTATAAATCCAAGCCTAAGACCAATTAACCTGGAATACAGCCCAGCTTCAGCACGTCTCGGAAGCTAAACAGATTTGAGCCTGCACTGGGCTTGGATGTGCGACCACTATGCAAGTCTGGTTTTTATAGGCGGCTGAGGGACTATGCTATGTTGTGGGCAGCAGCGGGAAAATGCAGCAAAATCCATCGTTGTACTGTGCTTCTATGCTCCCCAATTGCACCAACCCGCGGTGACCAACGTGATGATAGCATCATCAAATAACCACCACGACCTTTAAGGCGTGGGGAGAGACACGTGTAATTTGTGACCATGCAACTCGAACTATGTACCATATAGTAACCCCATAGAGACACACAGACATACATAGAGATACATAGGGACCCATAGAGATACATAGAGATACATAGGGACCCATAGAGATACACAGATACACATATGGTCCCATACAGATAAACAGAAACACATAGGGACACATAGAGACACAAAGGGCTCTATAGAGATGCATAGACACACACAGGGACCCATCGACATACATTAAATACAAGCCACAGTAGTGTGATTGTGGCCATGCCACCCCAACTACGGGACCAGGTAGTAGACCCACTGCAGTCTCCGCTCCTTCAATGGGTGACCAACCAACTCTATTTTTCTCCTGAAGCCCTCTCCTCGTGGCCAGGAGACCTCGACAATAGCATCTCGCTCCCGAACTTGCTACTTGCAGTAGAACAGAACGCGGCGTGGGGGAGACACTCATGAAGCTATGGGACTGACATTATTAAAAACTGGGGTTTGTATCTTGTACACACCGTTAGGGGGAAGGCCCCATCGTCCAGCAGTGTATCGACCATGGTGCAGTGGTTAGCGTCCTGCACTACGAACCCTGGATATCCTGGTTCGTCTCCCACTCACGGCCAACACCAGTGACGAGTATTTGAACCGGTCCTGGGCCTCCCCTAGGTCTATTCAGCATCAAATAAGTCCCTGGTGCCATTTGTTAACATCGTGGTGTCTGCCACCCTAATGGAGTTCCGACTCGGCCTTCATAGGTGTTCGCTAATAGCACTTACCCCAACAGTCTGTGAAGGCTATACCGGGGACCTTTGTCTCTTGGCATCAGCATCCGATGAGCCATAAAGATCATGTTCACGTGGTCAGAAAGTTGCAACAAACAATACGAGAATAACGACACGAGCCAAGAGTACGGTTTAACAAAAATAAGCGAATCACTAAAAACAAATCAACGTTTATTTTACCGGGTAAAGCCCACTGAGCTTACTAATTGGCTGTGTCGGGTGGTGGCGGGTTTAACGACACATTTATAGATTTACGCGATCTAACCCAACCCCCCCCCCCCCTGTATTATGAATAATATTGGTCGCGAAAGCCTCCTACTAAGTGTGAAACCCACTGATCTATGAGCTTCTTCTCCACGACTGACCATGAAGTTCATCATCGTCCACCGCGGAAACGCACGCCAGCCACAAGGGGGATGAAACACAACTCGTGTTAGTCAGACGTTTCGTGCCCGCAACTCACCCGTGCACCTGTGCTCGATGAATCCCATCACGGGGTCTGCCCACAGCGGGCTTTGCAAGAACCCCACCACGCTGTCAACCACCCAGTCGCTCATGCTGCCACCCTCATGCCCAGGGACACCCACGCCACCCAACTCCTCCTCGCCAGCGCGAAGCAGCAACGAAGTCGTCCAACTCGCACCCTCTTTGTCACGGCATCCGTCCAAGTAGTCCTGGCTCGTTCTTCCTGGTCTCCTCGACTCCTGGGTTCCCTTCAGTGACCTCTTCGTCTTTACGGGGTTCCAAGACCCTGGTCCTCAGATCGTGAAGCTCTCGGGACCCTGAGCTCCTCTGCTCCTTGATTATTTCCCGAGGTCCTCGTCGTTTTGTGATGTGCCAGCTCTTGGTCTCTTTGGTCCCCTGAGCTATTAGGGTCCTGCGAGCCGCTCCGAGTTGGTATCTTGTACTCAGTCCCTCCACTGCTCAGGTCCCGTGCCACTAACGCCTGCTGCGGCTGCCGTCTCTCTCCCTCTCTATCTCCCCCCACCTCTCCCCCCCCCACCTCTCTCGCTCTCTCCCCCCCACCTCTCTCCCCCACCTCTCTCCCCCCACCTCTCTCGCCCTCTCCCCCCACCTATCCCCCCCCACCTCTCTCCCCCCACCTCTCTCCCCCCACCTATCTCCCCCCACCTCTCTCCCCCCACCTATCTCCCCCACCTCTCTCCCCCACCTCTCTCCCCCCACCTCTCTCCCCCCACCTATCTCCCCCCACCTCTCTCCCCCCACCTCTCTCCCCCCACCTCTCTCCCCCCACCTCTCCCCCACCTCTCTCCCCCCACCTCTCTCCCCCCACCTATCTCTCCCTTCACGCCCTCCCCGTCCCTGGGCCGAGTGTTAAACCCCAGATCAGGCGACGCGGCCGCATCCCGTGGCCATGGCAACGGAAATCGGTCGTCTCCAATGGCAACGCAGGGAGGGAGGGCGGGGGAGGTGGAGTTGGAGCTCGGCCGCCATGGTAACGACGGGCCCCGCCCCCCAATAAGCAACGCCCCTCCTAAACCGGACGTGACGTCACGAGAAAATATTTGGGGGAGGGGCCGCGGATTTGGATTTCCGACGGCGCGTGCACGTTGGGGTGGGGGGGGACCCGACTGATCACGTGAGAGAAGGTGGACCAATGGGCGAATTGAGCTGCGCCTCGCGCCTGTCCGCGTTACGGATTGTAAACGTCGGGGTTCGCGCATGCGCACAGCGGTGCGCGGCACAATTCAAACGAGAATCCGTTGGGCGGTTCTGTGAGGGGACTCGGCGGGGTCGGTAAGGGGACTCGAAGGGGTCCGGTGAGGGGACTCGAAGGGGTCGGTAAGGGGACTCGAAGGGGTCCGGTGAGGGGACTCGAAGGGGTCCGGTGAGGGGACTCAGCGGGGTCGGTAAGGGGACTCAGCGGGGTCGGTAAGGGGACTCGAAGGGGTCGGTAAGGGGACTCGAAGGGGTCGGTAAGGGGACTCAGTGGGGTCGGTAAGGGGACTCGAAGGGGTCGGTAAGGGGACTCGAAGGGGTCGGTAAGGGGACTCGAAGGGGTCCGGTGAGGGGACTCGAAGGGGTCCGGTGAGGGGACTCAGCGGGGTCGGTAAGGGGACTCAGCGGGGTCGGTAAGGGGACTCGAAGGGGTCTGGTGAGGGGACTCGAAGGGGTCGGTAAGGGGACTCAGCGGGGTCGGTAAGGGGACTCGAAGGGGTCCGGTGAGGGGACTCGAAGGGGTCGGTAAGGGGACTCGAAGGGGTCGGTAAGGGGACTCAGTGGGGTCGGTAAGGGGACTCGAAGGGGTCGGTAAGGGGACTCGAAGGGGTCGGTAAGGGGACTCGAAGGGGTCCGGTGAGGGGACTCGAAGGGGTCCGGTGAGGGGACTCAGCGGGGTCGGTAAGGGGACTCAGCGGGGTCGGTAAGGGGACTCGAAGGGGTCCGGTGAGGGGACTCGAAGGGGTCGGTAAGGGGACTCAGTGGGGTCGGTAAGGGGACTCGAAGGGGTCGGTAAGGGGACTCGAAGGGGTCGGTAAGGGGACTCAGCGGGGTCGGTAAGGGGACTCGAAGGGGTCCGGTGAGGGGACTCGAAGGGGTCGGTAAGGGGACTCAGCGGGGTCGGTAAGGGGACTCGAAGGGGTCCGGTGAGGGGACTCGAAGGGGTCGGTAAGGGGACTCGAAGGGGTCGGTAAGGGGACTCAGTGGGGTCGGTAAGGGGACTCGAAGGGGTCGGTAAGGGGACTCGAAGGGGTCGGTAAGGGGACTCGAAGGGGTCCGGTGAGGGGACTCGAAGGGGTCCGGTGAGGGGACTCAGCGGGGTCGGTAAGGGGACTCAGCGGGGTCGGTAAGGGGACTCGAAGGGGTCCGGTGAGGGGACTCGAAGGGGTCGGTAAGGGGACTCGAAGGGGTCGGTAAGGGGACTCGAAGGGGTCCGGTGAGGGGACTCGAAGGGGTCCGGTGAGGGGACTCAGCGGGGTCGGTAAGGGGACTCAGCGGGGTCGGTAAGGGGACTCGAAGGGGTCCGGTGAGGGGACTCGAAGGGGTCGGTAAGGGGACTCGAAGGGGTCGGTAAGGGGACTCGAAGGGGTCGGTAAGGGGACTCGAAGGGGTCGGTAAGGGGACTCGAAGGGGTCGGTAAGGGGACTCGAAGGGGTCGGTAAGGGGACTCGAAGGGGTTCTGTGAGGGGACTCAGCGGGGTCGGGAAGGGGTCGGTAAGGGGACTCAGCGGGGTCGGTAAGGGGACTCGAAGGGGTCCGGTGAGGGGACTCGAAGGGGACTGAGTCTTTGTCAAGGTCGTGGTCTGGTGGGATCAAAGTTGGGATTTGGGACTCTTGGGGTCTGTGTTGGTGCCTCATCGGGGTCTGGGTTGCGGTCTGTGTTCAAGTGTTTAGGTCGGGGTATCATCGGGGTTTGGGTGGGGGTTTTTTTGTAGGGTTTGGATCTTTTTGGGGTCTGATTAGTTTGTAAATCCAGTTCCGTGTTGGGGTTTAGTTTGAGTCTCTGTCAGGGTCGGGTCAAGTCTTGGTCGTGCTCGGCCTTCCCAGCGGTACGGGGGCCATGCCACGGAAACTCAAGGAGATTGAGGCTTGGAAGAGATGAGGACACTGGGACTCAAGGAGATGATGGGGACATTGGGACTCAAGGAGATGATGGGGACATTGGGACTCAGGGAGATGATGGGGACATTGGGACTCAGGGAGATGATGGGGACATTGGGACTCAGGGAGATGATGGGGACATTGGGACTCAAGGAGATGATGGGGACATTGGGACTCAAGGAGATGATGGGGACATTGGGACTCAGGGAGATGGGGAAATTGGGACTCATGGGGACACAGGGACTCAGGGGATACAGGGACTCAAGCTGTCAAGTATACAATCGGAGTGGAGGTAGCTGTACACGGTCAGGAGTAGTGGATGCTTGCTGAGCTATGGATTGCAAGATCTTATCAATGATGAGTATGCTGCCCCTTAACTTTTATTCAGACTCGCATATGGGGGGGGGGGGGGGGTGAGAAGTGTTCTGACGTGAGCAATGATGGTGATCGCGATGCCAATGATCGTAAACGATGGCGATCACAGTCCGTTTCCTCTGTTTGTAGGAAAATCAGCGGAGATGTTTGCCGACGACGACGAGAGCGAGAACAGGTTTCGTGTACCCTCGAACTACCTCTCCCCCATTCCCTATCCACACGCAGCACCCACATCTCTTGTCAGCCCTTTCCCGCCACGACTGTCTTTGTGTGACCAACCCCTTGTCCAACTCGGTCGTGTGTGTGTTGTGTGTTTTGCAGCGCGCAAGCCTCGCAGGCGAACCACAGGAAGAGGCTTTCTTCGGTAAGCGCCTCTTCTGCTGTGGTGTGCTTTTTGACCAAGTGGCAGGCTGCGATGCCCCCCCTGCCCTGCCAGGGTTGAACGAGGCCAGTGTGAAGTTCGCCTGCTGATGGGGATTGTGCCAGGATAGTTGTTTTTTCACGATAACAATTTGTTACGGTGTCGAAGTTCACAATTCGATTATTTATCACCGTATCGGTTTCCGAATAACTGCGGTTATATGTCACGTGTTGGTTTGCTGTACCTCAAATATGAATGTGAGGAGTCCAAAAAGTTAAACTTGCAGTGCACTCTCCATAAGAGTGCCATCAGTCTTTTAATATTTGCAACGTGACAATCTGTAACACTTAGAACTGTCAGAAACACAAGCAATTAAATCAAATTAACTACAACAATAGGCTATGCTTTAAGTTGTAATTGATGAAAATAAGCACGTTTAATGGGTAATAAAGCTGTTTATTTACAACTCTTTTCTTGGATTTTCTGTTTGCACATAGTCACTTTAAGATATTTTCTTGTTCATGTTTTTTTGTTTGTTGCGGTTGCACCCGATTCAAGAGCCGAATGGCTCACAGGGCTATACCTAATAAATTAACTTTGAACTTTAACTCTTGTGTTATTTCGAAAAAAAATTGTGAGGTGTGATATAGCAACGATGTTTTGCAAACTGAACGATACAGTTATCGTTGACATATCGTAAAATATTCCACATGGTTGTCATCTTGCAGCAGCCTTATTGCGAGGCCACTGTCGAAGTTGGGTTTCAACGCTGCTTTCATAAGTTTGCCATTTGACCCCGAACTGAGATTTCACTGGTGGCTGAGTATGTTGACCCCTCGACGTTAGGACCGACTGATTGGAAATATTGTCTGGTGCTCGCTGGATGTGTTCCAACCCCACAATGGCACCCTCGGTGTGCTGTGCCGTGTCGCTAATGGACGCCCCGTCTCCTTCCCCACAGATCCTGAAAGTCCCGGAGAAACCGGTTTTGGAAGAGCGAGATGACAATAAAATGGTAACGTAGCAGGCGGCGGATCTGCCGTCCTTTCAAGTCCGCACCGGTGCGATGCGAGGTGGAAAAGTTATGCTCGTGATGCCCCCCCGCTGATGATTCACACCACGTAACTTTCGTGCGACGTTTTCCCTTCACCCCCAGCAGGCAGACACGATGGTGCGCAGGAAGTCTTTGAAGCTTTCGCGGAGGGTCAGCTTCGCCACAACAGACCACGTGAAGTAAGAGAGTGCTTCCCGCTGGGTTACGCAGCCTGCTTTAAAAATCAAGGTCAAGGGGTCACCATGGCCAATGTCATTGATGGACACCATGCCTTCTGTCCATTAATGACACCACATCTAGTGGTTGCAAAGTTGACATCTGATGCAATATGGTGCAATGCTCACTGCTAGAATTCATCACCCCTTGATTATCCAGGGTGAGGTGGAAATGGGAGTCTGGATTTAACTCGGATAACACAAAACTTGTAACTTAGGCTAACGACATATAATACTGTAATTGTGTACCCACATACAATGGGGGTGAAGCTGTAGAATGTGCATTTGCTTTAATTGTGCCTTAGAGTTATTGCTTTACTTGAATTTTTTTTCGTGGTCACATGGGTAATTGAGTGACTGATCCTTGGTAAGTGAGAAGCAACTAATAATTAAATCGTCAGGAGTGTTTTTCAGTTTTTGTAAGCGTGGTTGTTTGCATCCCAGATAAAAACCACCTGTGGATAGCCAAGAGCGAGCTAATTGGGAGAAAAGCTATAATGTATGACAATCTGTAAATTAACTATTATGTCTGTTTGTGTGAAGTTGCATAGGTAACTCTGTTATGCATCACTCTTGCAGAGAATTCAACACAGAGACGACTTTTCTTGGTGTCAGCGTTGGTAAGTTTACGCAAACAATCATTTCACTAACAAAGCCATGCTTGTTGCCAAGCGTGGAACGATTCGCCACCCATGCGATTTTCCGTCACGATTACTTTTAATAATCAAGAAGGATTACGTTTTTTTCCTTGTCTGGGTGTGAACCGAGAAATTAAAAAATTTACTTTTCCATACGCAGATTGAATGGAAAATCTAATATACGGTAAATTTTAAATAATCCAGAGTAATGAAGCAGAGGAATGATCCACATGAAAGAAGCACACAGATAATAAAAAACATGAGTTTGGCTATATAACCATACTTTGTAGAATGCGGGTTATGACCTGGAATGCGTCGCCTGTATGTATTTTTTCCCTTATTAAAGTAATACATTTACTTGCTGGTATGTTTGCGCCTGCTTGGGTACTAACCAGAGGTGGGACAAAGTCATTGTTATGCAAGTCCAAGTCGAGTCTGAAGTCATCAAATTCATGACTCGAGTCTGACTCGAGTCCAAGTCACATGACTCGAGTCCACACCTCAGAGGTGGGACAAAGTCATTGTTATGCAAGTCCAAGTCGAGTCTGAAGTCATCAAATTCATGACTCGAGTCTGACTCGAGTCCAAGTCACATGACTCGAGTCCACACCTCTGGTACTAACCATCCATGACTGAGAAGCGGCTAACGATAGAGCTAGCCTGTGAGGATGATCACTTGTTGACTGATTAGGATCAATTCTACACAATAGATTTTTAAAGCGCACGATTTGACGCATGTATCATGAGTGTAATGCCGAAGTCACCTTGCCGAACTATCTTGTTGCTTTTGTTGTGTTCTGCAAGTGTTCAGAAATGTCCTATGTTAGACACTGCAACTTATTTTGCAACATCGTTCCACATTACAATCTGCACCAGGGGTCGGCAACCAACATAACGTGGGCATTTTTTTTATAATTTGGTACAAAACTCAATATTTCAAGAGCCACAATGCAATGTGAATACACACATAGATTACGTCACGAGGCAGTCCATAAAAAGCCACATGCAGCTCTGGAACCGCAGGTTGCCGACCCCCTAGTTTACACGGAGATGACAACACAGCAAGTTGGCTTGTGGTGGAGCCATCTGTGTGCGTCGTCGAGAGTTATCCTCCAGTATGTGTGGTGTGTATTCTCCGGTTACATTGGTTTCCTCCCACAAGAAGCCAAACGCTCTTTTATGAAGAAGTTAGCCCAACCATCCTGTTGCGGGACTGTCCTGGAGTGTAAGCGTCCTGAGGCCGTGAAAGGCTTTTGTGGAAAATTAATTACCGTTTTGTCTTTAAACAGATGGTGAACCTCCAGGGAAGGTTGAAGCTGGTCTCTGTGAGGACGCAAGGTGAGGTGGCTGTCGTAAACGAATACTGCTTGAATGGAAGCTACGCTAGCTGTGGGCTGAGCTAATGAACCTCCGTTCTTTCTCCGTGCGCGTGTGTGCAGCCTTCCTGTGGGGCAGAAGATAGCAGGTAAGACTACGACCTGCCCCCCCCCCCACGATGTTAATGCACGTGCCACACAAGCAGATGTCACAACTGCTTCTGAGATACCTACAAGAGACCCGTCTTAGAGGCGATGCACTTTTCCATACGCCCTGCGGTAGACGAATGTTTGTCACATGACAAACTTATTTATAAATGTTTTATGGGTGCCACGGTGGGGAGATGTTAACCACCTTGCCTGGTATACAGGAGGTTGTGGGTTCGATCTCGACCCTGATGCCTGTATATTTGGAGTTTGTGTGTTTCTTCCCGTGGTCGCGGGGATTTTTCTCCGGGTCCTCCGGTTTTTTCCTCCACATTTATAAACGTTCATTTAAAGTATTTGCCTGCTATACATTTCCACAAGATAAGCCGCTTCGTTGCGCTATCATTTGTGGCCAGGTCGCTTCTGAAAAAGCTCTATAGCTCAGTGGGCCTTTCCTGGTAAAATGAAAATAGTACAGTTTAATCCTCAGAGCTGAAATAAGCTAAATGAAGTGAAAACCGATATTTAACAAGATGCTAAGTTTTTTATGCCGTCATTGACCATGCCGAAGCTGTCAACGATACTCGATAACCCAATTTAATCATGAGTGTTTGAAACCCAAATTTGAAACCAAGAACTCCGCGGCACTGACTCAACGTCTCTGACACGGCCAATGTGAGACCGCATAGCCATCCAGTCAAACTCTGTTGGTCGCTCTATGTCAGGAGGCTCATAATCTGCGAACGAAATGTCTCGGCAGTTACAAGCGTGTGACCGTGTGTACTTGTGTGTGGCTTAGGATTGGACACTCTGCTGCATGGGCCCATCCAGAACCCAGCCCAACTCACCGAGGTCAGCAGTTTCTCCTCTCTGCTCCGAGCCAAGCAGGACCCAACCTTGCTGTTGTAGCTACGGCAGGAGGGGAAATTAGTTTTATGGAGAAAACCATTCACACCTTTCTCGATCCCATCTGTTCTCCTGCGTGCAAAATGATGAATAGCAGCTTACAAGTCCATGTCCAGATGAATTTATAACTAACTTTATTTTTTATTTTACCAGAAAAGGGCCACTGAGCTATATAACTCTTTTTCAGAAACGACCTGGCCACATATGATAGCCTAATGAAGTGGCTTATCATGTGGAAATTTATCGCAGCCAAATACTCCAAATGCATGCTTCTAAATGTGGAGGGAAAACTAGGAGAAGCTGAAGAAAAATTCACATGACCACGGGGAGAGAGACACGTAAACTCCAAATATACACCAGGTATCCAGAGTTGACATGCAGTGAATTGCTTCGATGCCTCCGTTGAGTTTTTAAAGTTCACAGTGGTTCACTGCCATGTGGTATCGCATCGTGACTCGCATCGAGACTCGCGGGCTTGCATAGAGTTTTCAGTGGTTCACTACTTTGTAGGTTTACATAGTGAGGTAGAGAGAAGGTATGTCCTGCTCGGTGACGAATGTCCGCAAATTATTTATGGGTGGCAGCAAAACTTCACCCCACAAACGAGGACACGATCAGCCGAGTTGATTCGATGTGGGAGGTTGAGGACACAAAGCTGGAGGTTGTTTTTTTTATTGTTTCCACAGGATGGAGAGGATCTTCCGATTATTCCGGCAGCAGCAAAGGCCCCAGCTGGGGCAGCCAAGTTTGAAAAGATCGACTTCAAAGGTGCAGCAAGCAGCCCTGTGTTTAAAACGAGCAACGTTGACACGCGTGATTATCCATGTTCATAAATCCTAACCCTAACCCATCGTGCCTGGTGAGTGGGGAAACCATTTAATTCTCCTTTTATATGCAAATACTGTAAAATTCAGCTTGATAAACTATTTTGATGCATCATGGCCGTTATTTTTTACTCTTACAGCCATTAATGTACGAGCTGTCTCCATATGCCTGGCCGACTCTCCGTCTGTTTGGAATGGGCGGCAAGGGCGGGGGACTACGGTAACGCTCGTGAACATTATCCAACGTGAACAAAACCTTAGTATAAAGTTATGTTACTCTAAGGGACTTACCCTGTTGAAAAGTGGCAAAATTGACCGAAGGCTTGCCTTCACCTTGCCCAGCTGTCTGACCCTCATTGTCTTACTGCAGCTCGCGCACCTTGCTCGAGCGCTACCCTTATTGCCGGAAATGAAATACTTCCGAGTATCCATGCAGAGCATTACGGAACCCCGGGTTTATGAATCGTTAAACTAACGTTAGCTTCCCCATCGCCACGTTGTGTCCCCCAAGAAACGTTGAAGAGGCTCAACAGGGGCAAGCCGGAGCCTGGCGGACACCGCTTCTTCTCGGATCCGTTCTGCGCGGGCGAGGGGCTGGCTGACGTCGGGCCGAGCACCGTCGCCCAGGCGAACCGACCAGCGCCGCCGAAGCCGACGCAGGGCGACGTGCCCGCTTTTCCCGCAGGGGTCCCCCACTCCATGCTCGACCGCACTGCCATTTTCGAGGACGACGCGATGGACATGACGGTCGGCGTCACTGCCCTCATTGAGGGCGACTTTGTTGAGCCCTTGCGCAACAAACGCACGGCGGTCCAGCCGCAGACACGGCGCGACGACCCCTATTGCCCGCCCTCTGTTCCCTTCCTGGCGCCGGCGAACGGGAAAAGGGGGGGAGAAGCAGAGGAGGAGATGGAGATGACTCGCAGTCACACGGTCGTGATCCGGACGCAAGAGGAGGTAGAGACGCAGCCTGGTGGGGTGAAGGCTTCCGTGCCGTACGGGCATAAGTCTACGTACGTTCCCAAAGCGGTGGACTTGGCCGGGAGTCGCACGCCGTTTGGGCTCAGGGAGGCCGAGCACGCGACCCCGCGAAGGTCAGCGCCGAGAGAAGACCAGCCGCCGCGTCACGATGTCACGATCGGGTTTGAAGGCAACGAGGTTGACATGGAGATGACCAAAAGTCACACCGTAGTGATTCGTAGCGACCCGACAATATCTCTCAGGGAGAATTACGATGAGGCTGACATGGAGATGACAAGAAGCCACACAGCAGTGATCCGTAGCGACCCAACAAGATATCTAGGAGAGAAGTACGAAGAAGCTGACATGGAGATGACAAGAAGCCACACAGCGATGATTTGTAACGACCCAACAAGATCTCTCAGGGAGAAGTATGAAGAAACTGACATGGAGATGACAAGAAGCCACACAGCGATGATTCGTCACGACCCAACAAGATCTCTCAGGGAGAAGTACGAAGAAACTGACATGGAGATGACAAGAAGCCACACAGCGGTGATTTGTAACGACCCAACAAGATCTCTCAGGGAGAAGTATGAAGAAGCTGACATGGAGATGACAAGAAGCCACACAGCGATGATCCGTCACGACCCAACAAGATCTCTCAGGGAGAAGTACGAAGAAACTGACATGGAGATGACAAGAAGCCACACAGCGGTGATTTGTAACGACCCAACAAGATCTCTCAGGGAGAAGTATGAAGAAGCTGACATGGAGATGACAAGAAGCCACACAGCGATGATCCGTCACGACCCAACAAGATCTCTCAGGGAGAAGTACGAAGAAACTGACATGGAGATGACAAGAAGCCACACAGCGGTGATTCGTAGCGACCCAACAAGATCTCTAGGAGAGAAGTATGGAGAAGCTGACATGGAGATGACCAAAAGTCACACCGTAGTGATTCGTAACGAGCCAACAAGAACTCTAGGAGAGAAGTACGGAGAAGCTGACATGGAGATGACAAGAAGCCACACAGCGATGATTCGTCACGACCCAACAAGAACTCTCGGGGAGAAGTACGAAGAAACTGACATGGAGATGACAAGAAGCCACACAGCGGTGATTCGTCACGACCCAACAAGATCTCTCAGGGAGAAGTACGAAGAAACTGACATGGAGATGACAAGAAGCCACACAGCGGTGATTCGTAGCGATGCAACAAGATCTCTAGGAGAGAAGTATGGAGAAGCTGACATGGAGATGACAAGAAGCCACACAGCGATGATCCGTCACGACCCAACAAGAACTCTCGGGGAGAAGTACGAAGAAGCTGACATGGAGATGACAAGAAGCCACACAGCGATGATTCGTAACGACCCAACAAGATCTCTCAGGGAGAAGTACGAAGAAACTGACATGGAGATGACAAGAAGCCACACAGCGGTGATTCGTAGCGACCCAACAAGATCTCTAGGAGAGAAGTATGGAGAAGCTGACATGGAGATGACCAAAAGTCACACCGTAGTGATTCGTAACGAGCCAACAAGAACTCTAGGAGAGAAGTACGAAGAAACTGACATGGAGATGACAAGAAGCCACACAGCGATGATTCGTAGCGACCCAACAATATCTCTAGGAGAGAAGTATGGAGAAGCTGACATGGAGATGACCAAAAGTCACACCGTAGTGATTCGTAACGAGCCAACAAGATCTCTCGGAGAGAAGTACGAAGAAGCTGACATGGAGATGACAAGAAGCCACACCGCGGTAATTCGTAACGATGTAACTACTAGACCTCTCGCAGAAAATTACAATGCTGCCACACAGGAGCTGCGAGCTCGGCCATCCAACGTTGCGCCGCGTGGAAACAGAACTGTAATATTTCACGACGAGGACAAGGTGGAGGTCGCGAGGTGCCAAACAGTGGCGATCACTGGAGAGGGGCTGCGGGGTGTCACGACTAATGAGCCACCGAGAGCTTTGAACACCAAGAAGACCGGTGGCGCCAAGAGCAATGTCGTGGCGCCGAAGAGCATCAGCAACAGCAGCAGCGCGATCATCGAATGCGAGACGACACAACTGCTCGGCAACCCGCAGCCGGCTCGAGTAGAACCTAAGCACGTGAGCGTCGGAGACCGGCGAGCTTCGCCACCGGAGGAGGTCGAAATCCGGCCTTGTGGAAGTGGTGCGGCCGCAGCTGATGGTGGCCGTGGTGTGCATGAGGGCAGCACACGGTCCAATCGCCCCATCACGATGGAACAACCGGTGGCGACCGCAGAGTTTGGTGGGCAGGCCGGGGCAGGGAGAGACAGTGGAGAGGCCAGAGGGGATGGGCATCAGTGGGCAAGGACGGACGGCGAGGGACGCACTACGGCGGCCGACACCGAGCCGATCGTCCGGGCCGCTGCGGCGAACAACGTGACGATTCCGCGGCTCTGCACGGTCGCGCGAGACGCCGAGTCGGTGGAGCCGGGGAAGTTGCTGGAGGCGGCCGAGCTGCCGGCGAGGGCGCAGCCGAAAGCCATCGAGGAGGTGAGCTCACTCGGCAAGTCTGGCCATTTGGGCGCAGAAGAAAACAAAGTAAAGTTGGCTGGTGCAGGCGTATTCGAAAGCAGAACGGACAAGGTCCCTAAGGAACTTCTGGGGTCGCCAGTAAAGGAGCCGGCGGCATTATCGGTGGAGCCAAGTAGCGCTCGTCTGGAGATGAAATGCGATGCCGCCGTGACGGAGGTGGCGGCGGCAAGACCAACGGACAACCCCACGACTTTCCTGCTGAGAAAGCAGCTGGACAAGAGGCTGTCGCTCATGACCCTCCACGAGCAGCAGCTGCAGCGCAAGCAGCCGGGTGCGGGCGAGCACGGTACCCACCGGCGCGCCACCATGCTGCTGCCGTTCGCCTCCGCCGACGGGGACACTCGGCCCCACACGGACATCCTGCTTGGCAGGCGCTACTCGTCCGCCATGGCGCTGACGCCCGAGTGCACGCGCGCCGTGCGACGCCGGCTGTCGATGCTGCAAGCGGCGCGAGCGAGGGGGGCGGGCGGCGGCGACGACGACGACGCCACGGCGAGCAACAGGAGGCTAACCACCTCGGACCGGCTCGGCCAGCTGATGCCGCTGCTTACCAAGCAGGTCCAGCTCGCAGACCTGGAGATGGAGATGGCGCTGCAGGGTGGGTTTGAGAGCGCTCCGAGTCTGGGAAAGTTGCAAGGGGAACTGCTACTGGACGTGTCGCGATTCGCCCCCCGCGCCACCCAGCTATTCGAATAATTGTTATGGTTCAGGGCTGTGACTCGATTCAAGATTTGATTCTTTTTTTGTCTTGTTTGCACCGATAATACTTATAATTTCAATTGTGCAATGCTCGCAGCATTCATTCACTCTCGAAGAGACAACAAACTCAGGGGCGCGTACAAATACCCCTTTTACTGATGATAATAGGTGCTCTCTAACAGAAATTTCCCCCACAGTTTGTAAGACTACACTGACGGATCTATCTTTGTGTGTGTATAAATGTGTATGCGTGAAAGGGAGTCCTACGTGCCCTTACACCACCCCGTGTCCTTACACGACCCTTGCATATGTCTAGCCTTGTTGTCTCAATGGCCACTTTGCCAGGTCTATGTCTTGTCAATCCACAATGGGTGCGGGTGTTGGCGTTGGCAGGTGGGCACCTGTGTGAGGAGGCGCTGAAGGTGGTGTCCGAGATAGAGAAGGCCGGATCCCAGCAGGCAGTCACCCACGGTGATTTCCACACCTCGTACAATATGCAAGACGAGACTTTGCCGGGTGAGTGCGGTGAGAGGAGAGGGTGTTTGGTATTCATGCCGTTCTTATAGCGCAAGGGGTCGGCAACCCGTGGCTCCAGAGCCGCGTGCGGCTCTTTCAGGAGTGCTTCGTGACTTGTTAAGGATACACCGTCTTGTATTCACAACGTGCGTTGTGCCTCTTGAAGTATCTTTTTTTTTTACAGAATTCGAAAAAAATGTCTGCTCTTGTTATTTTGGTTGGCGACCCCTGTTATAGGGCAAGGCTATGATCGCGAAGGGAAGGCGCCGCTGGTGTTTCATGGGCACGTTTCGGAGTACATTCCCAGTCGGGTGCGATGTTGCAATGTGTAGTCCCAGCCGAGTAATTTACGGTGTCATTTTTAAAAGTTGGCAAATTTAATTTGCGGGTGCGTTTTTTTATTATTTTTTTGTTTGGCAAATCGTCACGCGCACATCTCTTTGCTAAGAATCGACGTTCAATTGATTTCACTCGCATGCCCCCCCCCCCCCCGACCGCTACGTTTCGCCGCTGCGCAGCTTCAACTGTTGGGCAGCAGGAGCTGTGGACGGGGCAGCTGGAGGAGCACACGGGAGGTGGGGGTACGGCGTGCCAAGCGGCGGCGCAGGGGAAGCGCGCCACGGAGGAAAGCGGCGGCGGCGGCGGCGGCAAGCGGCGACGCAGCGACAGGGACGGGGATACACTCGCCTGCATGGTAACCGTTTCCCCCGTCTCCACAGTAACCGCGTCCCCGTCTCCACGGTAACCGTGCCCCCGTCTCCACGGTAACCGTGCCCCCGTCTCCACGGTAACCGTGCCCCCGTCTCCACGGTAACCCTGTCCCCATCTTTAGAAACATGCGTTTAGAGTTATTGGCTGCTATACATTTCCACGATGATAAGCCACTTGGTTGAGTTCTCATTTGTGGCCAGGTTGCTTCTGAAAAAGAGCTACATCGCTCGGTGGACATTACCTGGAAAAAAAATAGAAGTAGAACATGGCCACCTCAAACATCAACTGTATCTCCATCTTCACTGTAACCCCTGCCCTGTATCCATGGTAACTCCTGCCCTGTCTCTATGGTAATTGTTGCCCTGTGTCTGAGGTAACCCTTCTGCCTGGTCTCCATTGCAAATGTTTCCCTTTCTTCTCGGTAACCTTTACCTGGTCACCGTGGTGATCTCTACCCTTTCTCCATGACAGCTGCTGCCCTGTATCCCCCGAGACTCCTACTCTGTCTGCTCAGAACCAGATTAAGGGCACTTAATGGATCCTTCGGAGTAATGCTAATTCATTACACAAGGAGCCAAAACTGTGGCACGATTAGAATTTCTTAGGCATTCGGTATAAAAATATATTTTAACGACTTAATACATCCTCACATGCCTGCTGTAATGGTGTAGTGTTGCAAGGTAAGAGTCTAAAGCGTTTTTGCCAGGGGCCTATTGCTGGCTGTGGTGGTGGAGGGGGGCAGGGGGGGGGGGGGGCTCTGTCAGTCTGATGCAATTGTGGGCCTGTGGCAGGACGAGCCCGAGGAGAAGGAGCAGGAGGGACCGACGTTCCTCCCGGCACTCCAGCTGTCCCTCTCTGCCGGACACGGTGAACTCCAGGCCTCGCCGAGCGGAGGCAACTCAAGGATCGTCACTGATGGTGAGCCGTGGTTGTAGCGGTTGTAGCGGTTGTAGCGGTGGTGTTGGCACCGCCACATTATTGTTCTTTTACTTTGTGTTTTGTGTGTGATATAACTGCGTGGAACTAGTACCCATCTATTTGCCCATTACATCTGGCAGTTCACCAGCATGGATTCAAGCAGTTTTGCTTGTGTTGGGTCAATATTGCTGGAAGTTAAACTTTGCCACCTGCAGCAAAAAACTACCGCAGACCGTGTCTGTGAAATGTAGCACCTCCCGAGAGAGCCTTGCGCTATAAGAAAAGGGCGGATACCAAACGAATAGATTTTATGAGCCGTGAACTTGTTTTTGGCCTCTTGGCTGGAATGACACCAGGAGCAACAACAACCGTTCCCACTGCGTGGACTTTCCTTCCGTGTAGTGCTCCGATGTGTTTTGGGTAGTGCTGTGCACTCTTCGGCATGACGTCCACGTGCTGAATCTGCCAGCACGTGGAGCGAAACGTCGTATGTCATGCCGAGACTAGACGCAGTGCAGGCCTTGAACACATTGGAGAGCTAAACAGCAATTCTTCTGCGCAGGGTTCATGCCAGCCATTGCCCAGGCCTGCCAAAACATCAGCCTCACCTCAAGCCACGAGGTGAGCCTCGCGTCGCGTGTGCCATTACCGTAGCCGCGGTGAAGGTTGCCCATCCCCTTCCCCGTCCCCCACCCACCCCCCCCCCCGTTGGTTCATTACATTCTCTGCTCCGGTGTTGCTCAAACTTGTTTGGCCCGTGGACCACACGGCCCTTCACCCCTGGTAACAAAACGAATGCATTCACTCTACTCTGAATGCTACTCGTGCACCTGCCATGCAGCGCTAGCCATGGGCCGCGACACGCCGGTTTAGTATTCGTGTAAATTGTCGCCGGCAATCATCGTCGCCCGCAATATTTGCTGTCGCCCGTTTTTTCATAACAAAAAAAATCGTTGCTGCCCAAACATGGATACATTTTATTCTTGCTCCCTCTCACGCCAGGGCATAGCACCTCGATGTCCACGGGAAGGGAGTTTCGCAATGTTTGTGTGGTCCACAAAACCCTCGTTGCTTCCACGGTGCTTCATTGCAGGGGTGCGTAGGCACCGCGGCCCGGCTAAAAATGTTGCCCCTTAAATGGTCCCGGACGTGTGGTGGAGTTCGGGGTGTCGCGTGGCTTCGTGTCTCACCTGCCCCTTCTGCCCCTTCGCGCTGCAGGGCTGGGTGGACGGCAACGTCACCATCCGGGCCTTCATGAAGAACATGCTGCTCGAAGCCACCGTGGCCCTATCCAGACATAGCGAGATCATGGTCATGGTAACCACATGCACGCTGTAACCACGCGTTGTTGTTACCCGTTGTAGCGGTGGTGTACGATTGCTTCCGATAGAAGATCACTTTGGACTTGCTTGAGTTACAATAGTAATAATAATGATGCCATTTCTCCAGGGAACCCACCCCACCCCCCTGAATCTCACAACTCATTTGAGCTTTTGGTCAGTGGGGATCGACTCGCATAAAAATGTCTCAGGTTCATGATATCTGTTGGAGATTGACTCAGTCCAACATCCCTCTGGGGCCTATTAAATAAGTACAACATTGTATAAAAACGATTGTTGGCGACTTCGATGCGAAAGAAGTTCAACGTGTACATATCTACCCGCCCATTGCCACGGATAACAAGAGTCGTCTGCGTTTCTCTCGGGCAGCCCCAGGAGGAGGAGGAGCGAGGGCAACGGCTGCGCAGGACGGTGCGGGAGAGGCATGTGGTCATCCCCAAGATGAGAGCCAAAGAAGAGCAACTTGGACGGATCCAGGAGCAGACGGCACAGTGAGACGGGGCGCTATCGAAGGGAACGTGGTTCTAGTCACGGGTGGGGAACCTTTTTTCTGCCAAGGGCCAATAACATAATTCGCGGGCCATACAAAGGTATCAACTTAAAGATTTAGCCTGTTATATTTGGTCAAACATTAAATTAACTCGCTCCTGATGTGATGGCTGGAACTGCCAAATGATTTCGTGAACCTTATACGGCCGGGCCGGATGTTCCCCACCCCTGTTCTAGTGTCGAGAGCAGTGGCTCCTAAACGTATTCAAACTAAAGTTTTTTATATTTTACCAGGTAAGGCCCACTGAGCTATGTAGCTTTTTTTCAGAAGTGATTTGGCTATCACAAATGATATGTCCACGAAGCGGCATATCGTGGAGGAATTCATAGCACTAGCCAAATACTCTAAATGCATGATGTTGATTCTAAATGTGAAGGGAAAATCCACACGACCACAGGGAGAACATGCAAACTTAAAATATAGAGCAGGCGTCAGGGTCGGGATCAAACCCACGACCTCCTGTATACCAGGCGAGGTAGTTAACATCTCTCCAGCTCAGTGGGCCTTACCTGGTAAAATAAAACAGATAGTTTAGTTTTAGTTTAACATTGTGCAAGGTGTGTTATGCGCTGTCATTGCGTTGAAAGTGATAAAGTCTGGGCCCACTGCTTGAGCGGCGTCTTGTGCCTACCGACGCTGCCTCCCTCTTTGCGAACCAGGCTCACCGGCGAGGGTGGAGATCGGTTGCTGAAGTCGCTGGACCCGCAGCTCTGCAGGAGGATGATGAGTTGCAAGCAGACGGAGGTGGGGACATTGACACTCGTTTACCCAGTCTCAAAGACTTGTTCGGGAGGGTCCTGCCAAGTTTTTTTCGCAGTAGGGGGTGATATCGCTGCTGTGTCTCATCCCGATTGAGTGATTTGCAGGTACTTTCTCAGCATTGGAATGTTTGGCCAATACCTGTAACAATGTTTTTGGGTTTTTTTGTTGCCATGGGAGGAAACCCATGCAGAACAGGGGCAGAATGTACAAACTCCACGGAGAAAGCCAGTCGGGAATCAAACCAAGGCCCTTCTTGCAGCGAGACCCTTTCCAGGGGTGGGGAACTTGTGGTGTACGGGCTGTATGCAGCCTGTCTCCATTTCATACGGCCCACGGCACCTACCATTTGAAAAGGCCTCCAAATTGTATTTACCTATCACTGCCAGCATCTTAATCTGCGCTAATCGGATACCAAAGTGGAATAATTTCGACCTGGTAACACTATTTTTTATTTTACAAATTATTTCTGGATGCCACGTTGGGTGGTGTCGCACAAGTCACAAGGAAACTCAACACATTCATCCAGAACACCATTCCCTTTAACGAGGAAAATAAGGGCCATTGCCTGAAACGTCGCCTATTATATATATAAGGCCACGGTGTTATTGTATGTGTAGGGGTGTTAGAGAGAGGGCCGTTATGCATGGCAGTCTATGGGAAACAAACACAGTAGGCGGGGCTACGTGTGTGCACAGGGAGATGCCCTCTGCGACGTCCGAGCCAGACACCCTGGGGGGGGGCTGGTTCGGCGTTACGATCCCCCGGGGCCCCACCCCTCAAGGAGGGGTTGGGTATAAAAGGGGATGTTATAAGGGCTCGAGTCAGTTATGTTAGAAGCTAACCAAGAAGACTGAAGACGTCTTAGATAGAGCCCTGGACTCCCCTCGTTCGATGTCCTTATCAGGGCCGGACAGGACAGAGCCAGTGGCGTGGTCCCGAGAGCCAGAGCCGGTGCTCTTGTAAGAGCTGGTCTGGGACTCCGGGTACCGGGCCCGACTTACCAGTGTCGGGCCAGACAGCCTCCCCTAGCTCATTAGTGGAGGACTAAGAGGCAGGCTAGGCTTAGCTAGGAAGTGTATCCTTAGCTAGTCGGGTGAGGGGGCCGATACCCCCTCCAGTGCTGTATGTCACATACGAGCTGTGTTAAATCAATATCCGTGTGCCTCAACCTCGGCGTCAAGTGTCTTCACCGGTACTTCATATGTATGTTGAACTTTTTTTGCACCGTACGTAGTCAACTGCGCTAATCGGAGGTGCGGGGGAAGGACAACAAACTGAACACAAAAGGCAGTTTGAAAGAAGTTAGTTTTCAATCTAAATTTAAAAGTGTGTAGCTCCAGTGGCTTCTTAATACGGGAAGGAAGAGCGTTTCAGACGGCTGCAGAAGGACATCTGAAAGCGCGCGATGTAGTGACCATCTTTGTTTGATGACTAGCCAAAAGCCGCTGCCAGGATGACCGGAGTTTGCGTGATGGTCTGTTCCTTGACGAGATCAGCAAGGTGGAATTGTGGTTCATTTTTGGCAAGCACTTTGTGTGTAATGAGTGCGACCTTATAACGCATTCGTTCGGCAATCGGAAGCCAATGCAGCTCGGCGAACTGTGGACAGACACGGTCTGATCTTGCGGAACGTGTGTTGAGTTCTTTCTGTTGAAATTTCCGCGCACTCCCAAGTCGCTTCTGCGAGGGCCCCTTGCGGCGACAGAGGCAGGCGGCGCTTGGCGGTGGGGCGGTGTTTGACGAGCGCGCGCCGTCTTTGCCCCGGCAGCACGACGAGTTCCTGACGGAGCTCAGGGCCGAGAGGGACTGCCTGCGGGATGAGGCGAAGCACGTGTACGCGCGTGGCAGCACGGAGCAGCTGACGGAGCTGCTCGCACAAATGCAGGTGGGTCCCCAGCGCGGAACAGAGCAAGGGGTCCCTTTTGACTCGAATGAATTGGTTTAATCACAGCCAGCTTTGCCCTGCTTGGTTCGGAACCGAGGAGCTCAGCCGTTGCCGGTTTAGCACTCTGACTTCCGAGCCCCTCGGATACCTCTAGAGAACCCAGTTTAATCGCAGCCAGTCGCGCCTGCCTGGTTTTGAACTTGGGATCTTAGCGGTGCCGGCTCAGCACTCCGACCTCTTGAGCCACCTGGCCGTCCCCCAGGAGCGAGCATATGAATGGAATCTTCTTTCGTCACACCGGGCGTCCCTTCTACTCCCCCATGCAGGGTCATCTAGAGGTTCTGGAGAATCGAGTGCAGCAGACTAAGAAGACCCTGGAGGACATCAACTTCCACATGGCGCAAATGGACGGTGAGACAAGAATGATACCCACCAGGCTCCTCATTGCACCATTGACATCTAATCCAAACCCCTTGGTGAATTTCACCACGAACCTCAATGCATACGCCCCCTGTCTACCTCTCCCCTCTCATCTCACTCTACTCTCCTCCACGCACTCTCCTACCTCTTACCTCTCATCTCACTCTACTCTCCTCCACACATTCTCCTACCTCTCCCCTCTCCCATCTCACTCTTCTCCCCTCCACGCACTCTCCTACCTCTCCCCTCTCATCTCACTCTACTCCCCTCCACACACTCTCCAACTTCTCCCCTGTTATCTCTTGAGATATGGTCGCATTTAGACGCTGTATAAATCCACGTGACATTTTTTCCGTTCGTCGTAGCTTAGGAATTCTTGCGCGCGCGGTTCAGCGTACACACCGTGAGCCTGCGAATCAACTTGAATGGATGACGACGACGACGATGACGCGGTGAGCGAATCGTGCCGTGTGTGACGCCCTCCTGGCTTGCCCGTGCAGACGAATCCAGGAACGACCAGGATCGCGTCGCCGAGCCAGTGCCGAGCCGCGCCCTGCTGCTCGACAAGAAGAACGGTACAGGGCCCCCCCCCCCGGCCCACGGCAGCGCTGCCCCCCTCGCCTGTTCCCCGTGGCCACTGAGAAGTCACCTCTCCCGGCTTCAGCGACAGCCCCAGCTCCCCCCCCCCATTGAGTATAGAACGATGAGTGCAGAACGACAACTAGCGCAATTATTAAAATGTCTGTAAGCCAAGACTGGTCATCACTCCGATACCGTAAGGGAGTTTGGACAAACAAACAATGCATCCTGTAGGGTATTTGGGGGCCCCAGGAACATCAGGCACCCCCCTGGCTACTTGTCCCCCTCCCCCCCACTCCTCTCCATGAGCTGTGGGGCTCAGTGGGCTGGGCTCCTCTCTGCAGGCAGCATCAATAGAGCACTGCGTTGGTGTGCCTGACATGTTGATGTACCAGTGGAGCCTGTACAATCCACTGCTGGATGAGGGCTTGCCCGTGCCGTGTGGGTGGTAGGGGGGTTATCTGACCATACCTGCCATGCTGGCCAGTACGGGTTGCTGAAGTCAGGAAATTATAAATGTGGGAGCATAGAAGTACTGCATCTCACTGGATTTGGCCGCACTGGCCTCGGTTGCACGTAACTTAAGCTCAAAAATCAAACGGCTCTCATCCAGTAGACGGACACCTCGGCTGCGTGTTCCCGCACGAGTCTTCGTCGGCGATAAAATAAATAAGATGGTACAGCGACTTGGATTAGAGCTGCATTGGAGAAGGCGTCAGGATTGGAGCGTCGCGATGTGAGAATTGCAATGGCTTTTTAAATCCTTTATATTAAGTTCGCTTGCTTGCGTGCTTGCTTGCTTGCTTAGGACCGTGCAAATCTTTCGGTCGTTTTTTAACCCACTTCCCGTGATCCAATCGAGCTGACATTTTCCACACAGACTCGTTGTGCCAGACAATTAATGTTCGTGAAAAAAAATTCCCAAAATTTTACACTTTCTAGGCAAAAAAAAATATTTTACATATATTCAAAAGAACTCATTCTTGGCTTTGGCTGAACGTCACAGTATAAGAGCCCAGAGCGTAACCCCTCCACAGGCCGTGGTGGAGTAGCGCAGTTGGTAGCGCCCTCGCTTCCCATGCCAAAGGTTGCGGGATCGATCCCCACGTCCTCCACAGGCGAATATATTTTTAAATCCTTTATATTAAGTTCGCTGCCACGCATATAAAGGATTTATAGTGAAAAACTTTGTTTTTACGGGTTATACTTATTGTTCTTTTTCTTCAGAACTGACGGAGCTGGCAAATGAGAAGAAGGAAGTGAAAAGGTAAAGGAGCCGGAGCAGAGGGTGGCTCCCCTCTGCTCCTTTAGTTGGCATTGGCGGTGACCTCATGGCCCAGCGATAGTGCGCTGGCCCCTTGTTTGGGAAGGTTCGCATCTGGCAGGCCGCCCCCGGTTATTACTGCGGTAGTGTAAAAATCGGCTTCGGACACCGAGGTCTCGAACTGTTACAGCCTCACGTCACTATTCATGACACTACTCTACACTACACTATAGACTACTATAAAATACACTACTATAAAATAGACTACACTACACTACTATACACTACACTACTATACACTCTACTGTTACAGCCTCACGTCAGTTCTCTGCTGTCGCCCCCTTGTTGTGGAACTCTCTAATCCCTTTGTGCATTCGCAGCATTAAATACACTCCGACTACTTTCAGGAAACACCTAAAGGCCTCTCTCTGTGTTGGGTCTCAGGCCTTTCGTCGAGCAGCTCTGATCTTGGCCCCGTGCCTCTTGAGTTGTTGACTTGTCTGCAAAAATCTGGCGCGTTAGAAATGTCATCATCGTTGTTATTAACCATCATAATACTACTACTACGCGCCGTCTGGTTCACTCACAGTGGACGTTAAAGACCCCTGCGACGTCATTCGCAAGAGTTAGGCCGTTGTACGCCGGCATAACGGTACGCATTTTAAACATTACATCACAAACGACTGAATTGGGATTATTCCAGCAACATCGTTCCCTACGGGCAGTCTCTGTGAAACGTAAGGCCTCTCTTCGTGGTCATGGGGCATGCTCCAGATGATTTTGTCATGAGCGGTGATGATATGATGATACCATGATTCTCAAAGAAAGTCTTCTGGTCTCAATGGGGTCCTACATGCCAAAGCATAATCAATATCATCATCAGTTGACAAGACAAAGATCCCCCATAAACCCTGTTAACGAGCACATATTCAGGCCAGCGTGGCACACAACTGGGTGGGTGGCCAGCACCACGCCCACACGCCTTTGTCTCCTCGGTGCTCATGTTTATATACCGCACCAGGTACGCATTTCAGGCCGAGTCGATCTAGGGGATGTCATCGACATTGGCCGTGAATGGGAATCGAACTCGGGTCACCAGGTTGGTAGCGCAGTGCGCAGACCACTGCGCCGCCGCTCCCCACTTGAGCTGCACGCGCGCGTGGCGGGTTCCGTTCGCGTTTGACCGGAGTCATCGGCTCCGGGCTGCAGGCTGCAGCGCGAGCGCCACAAGGAGCTGAACCTGGTGGCCAAGACGCTGCGTGAGCAGCAGCAGCAGCTCCTCGTCCCCGTCCACAGCGTCTCCGAGTACCACAGGTGAAGGCCTCGGCACATTCGCACCTGCGGGTGATGTCGGTGGTAGTGGCGGCGGTGGTGGTGGTGGTGGTGGCAATGCTGGTGGCAGCGGTGTAGCGGTACGAACCCGGCCGCCCGAGTTCGATTCCCGCTCATTGCCAACACCAGTGACGATTATCTGAACTGGTCCCGGGCCTCCCCTAGGTCGACTCGGCCTGAAATGAGTACCCTGTGCAGTGTGTAAATATCGCCACTGGGGAGATAAAGGCGGCCGGGTGTGGTGCTGGCCACCCACCCCCTTTGTGTCGTACCGGCCTTCATAGATGCTACTTGCCCGAGGTACTTGCCCCCCCCCCCCAACAGTCTGTTAAGGCCATATGGGGGGGGATCTTTGGTGCTGCTGGCAGTGGTGGAGGCCTCTGCCCCTGTGCTGATTCATGCGCTGCGGCCAAACCTGTCGTGCCGGACTCTCCGACAATTGGTTGGGCCAAGCGACGTGTTTCAGCCGCTTTACCAAATGTGAAAATTGGCCAAAGTTAGTTGTTTTTTTTACCTCGCGCATGGGGCAAAGGGGGGGAGGCAGCAATCGCACCAGTTTTTTTAGGCCCCTACTGCGAAAACTTGGCAGGACCATCTTGATGAAGTGTTTTCAGATTTGACAAGGCTTTCCTGAGTTTAACCAGAGTGATAATAAAAATAATATAAATTCCTCGCAGGCTGACGGGGTGGGAGCTGCAGTGGTGGCAGGAGAACGAAGCTGTGTTCCTCTTCCTGCACGGATCGCTGGAGGCGAAAGTCAAGTTCGGCAAGCGAATCGGTAAACCCGCCGCCATCGGGCACGGCATCGCCCGACATGGAGACGTGGAGAACGAAACGTGAACAGGAGGTCGCGGGGGTTCGGGGCAGGATTCAGGGCAGCGAGAGGGTTGAGACTTTGACGTTGGTTGGTTGGCGAGTTAAGATGCACGGGTTGTTCTCGGGTACTTGCCTGGCTGGTGTGGTGAAGGTTTGGGTTGGTAGGAAGGGAAGGCGACATCAACGGGACAAAGATGGAGAAATTGGGAAAGGGACAGAAATCAATGGAATCTCTATCTGTACATTGCATCTGTTATCAGAAAGTGCATGAGCAGCAGATCTTAACACATTTATTGTGTTTTCGTATAAAGCTTCCACACCTGAATACTTGCTTGGAAATGAGCAGTGATAGCACATGTTCTGCATACACAACCTGTACGCAAGTTGATCTTGGGACTTCTACTGAGCGCCTGGTGAAGGCACTTTAGAGATTCTTAGGGCTCAATGTTATTTCCCAAGGCTCAAAAAGAGCCAGCAGCCTAAGGAACCGTTAGGATTCTAAGGGTTAAAGTTGATCCTGAGAGTCGCCGAGCTAAAAATAACCTTTTGCAAAGTCCTATATTAGTCATCGATGGTGACCGAGGCTGACAGAGGCAGACGAAGGCATTGTTTGTTTCTGTGCCGGCGAAAGCCGCTGACGTTTCCGTGCCTGGGCCTGCGCCCCCCCTCCCTCTCCTCTCGCGCAGACGGCCTCACGTTCGCCGGGCAGCCCATGCGAGAGATCTCCGACATCCAGCTCACGTGGCAGCTCGGCGGTAAGAGCTTCGAGCGTCGGCAGCCGTGTTCGATCCACTGCTGGACGAAGGCCTCTCCCAAGCCGTTGCAGCCTCTCGCGGTCCTACGAATTAGCAGCCGTCTAGCGCCTGTGTGTACGCCGGCTAGCCTCGTCGCGTCCGAGATGATAGATGCGACCCATATAACAAGTGGCTCTTGTGCGTACACACCTAAGGCGGAGTATTAATGCACATAAAAGACGATTTGTAGGCTGCTAAAGGTGTGATTGTGACCATATGATTGGCCCTGCCATCATGGCTTGCACGTCACGTGACACGACCACACGGCGCGGGTAATGGACACAGCCTTGTCTCGTCGTATTCGCTTCTGACGAAGACGGTCAAATTGCGGCGCTCTCTTCCTGGCCACCACAAAGTCGCCGGTGGTGCCGATAGCGTCCCACCGACGCGTTCTCAACTGCCCCCCCCCCCCCCTTTCGCCCACCGGGACACGGCACAGATTCCCCGTTCCCCGAGGCTACCAGCCTCCTCCAGCGCCTGCTGTTGGCGGGGCTCGGCAACCATTGCACGTGGGCAGCGCAGCACCGCAGCAGCCTGCACCTCCCGCAGGTGCGTTCACCGACACTGCCGCCAATGGCGACGGTCTTGCCGTGCCCGCTGCACCCAACTCCACGGAGCGCCATCTGTGGGCGTTTGAGTGAGCGAGCGAGCCGCTTGTCCGTGTACGTATGTTGAACTTCTTTGCGCACCATATGTAGCCAACCGTGCTAATGGGCCACAGCTGAAGTTGGTATCATCCAGGGTGGCGAAACCTTAAGAAATACAGGTTTCTATGACCTAATAAGCCTTGAGTCATTTGACAACCCACCCATTTCAAGGGGCTATCACCGAATTCACCGTTAAGAACCCCAGAAAGAAAGTGGAGCCACTTCAGAATCAGAATATTTATTTAGATTGGAGGAATCCAATGAGCTATGAAGCGCTTTTTCACAGAAGTCCAGGAGGGATGGCTGCATTTGTCGGTACCACTTCAGGCGGTCCGGGCCCATGGACTTGCGTGTTTGTGGCCTGTGCCTCGTGTCGCACCAAACCTCCGCGTCCCATCGCGGGTCCCCTACAGGTGCTGCACGAGCTGACGCTGGTGGCGGAGCGGGCGCGGGGGCTGAGCGAGGACGTGGCCTTCCTGCTGGGGGGCACGGGGCTGCGCTACGACCTCGTGCGCGCGTCTGTCGACGGGCTCAGGTGCGGCTCGGCGGGTCGGGTCGTTGGCACGGCAGCGTGTTGCGTCCGATGAGGCGTGGATACGGGGGGGGGGGGGGCGGGGTGTGTGGGGTTTAGATAATACGCCGATCAATTCCGCTTCTGTTTGATATCGGTTGTTAAGCTCGCGACGCGTGCGGGAAATTGCGTGGGTAGTTATTGATGCATTTCGGTCAAAGATTTGTGACCCTGACGGGCCATAGAGGGTGTCCACCAATCCCACTTGCATTTTCCCTCTTGCGTTGTCTGGATCGGAGGCCCCTTTGGTAGCCACTTGCCAGAGCATCACTCACTCCAGTCGCTTCTAACACTGCCTATCGCTTCAGCTGGACGTGCGTCTCGTCGCCTGGTATGGTGGGAGGTGAATCATCACAGCTCTAGCAGCCGGTGTGATGGGAAGTGCGCACCGCTCGCTATCCGAGATCTTGGAATGTGATTGATGAAATGAATATGACCCTGAAGGCAATGTCTTGTATAAATCGAGTTAATGCAACCCTTTCGATCAAATGACTTGCAAATCAACAAAAGGATCTCAATGTGGTGCATTAAAATCTGACATTGTTGGGGAGGCTGGGTAGTTTGGAGCCAGTTCAAATCCACGAATAAACCGACACGTAGCAAGTCCGTGGGTTCAGCCCGGGCACTGCTGACGCCCCTCGGACCAGACGTGATGTCACGGGGTCAGCACGGAAACGAGGCGAAGAGGCGGGTGGTAAAACTGGATTCGAACTCGGGCTCCTGGTGGTGCCTTGTGCCTGCGCCGGCTCTGTGTCTCTGACCCCTGAAGCACCCTGCCGCCTCGCTTGGCGTCATCTCACGAAGCTGCTGCCGCCACTCCGTGCTGCCCCCGTGCGTGACCGGTCGTTGTGCCCACAGGCTCGGCTGCGTCTTCTCCAGCCTGCCGGCCTTCTGCAAGTTCCGTGTCAACTTTGAGCTGCAGCCCGGCTACCCCTTCACGCCGCTGCAGTTTGAAGTGCGGCCCCTCATCGGCAAGCCCAGGTACTCGCGGCCCCCACCCCGCTCCCTGCATTGTCCCTCATCTCAACCCCTGCCACCCCCCCTTCCCAGTGGGGTGAGGCACACGACAGAGTCACGAAGCAGGCTTATGGATCAGGATGTAAGGGTTTATGTATTGAAACTGATTATTACACTCGCACAATCATTTATAGGGCGCCGTTGAATAATGGATCTGCTCGCAAAAGGCAATTGTAACGATTTTATTAAGTGAGCAAATCATCGGTGTGTCTTCGAGTGGAAGCATGAGTGGGTGAGAGGTTGGGTGAGTGGGTCAACGAATGGGTGGTTGAGTGTTTAAATGAGCAAGCGGGTGATGGGTAGATGAATATGTAGATGAGCGAGTGGGTGCTTTTGTTCACGAACAAGTCGTCGAGTGGGTTGAGTAGACGAATGGACGGAAGAGTGAGCGTGTGAGCGAGCGAATGGTCGAGTAGATGAGTGGGCGGTGAGTAATCACTCGCGCCTATTGCCGACGCTAACCGCCGTCTGTGTGTATCGGCGGGGGGCCAGCGTGGAGCAGCAGGTGAGCCACGCGGTGAGGGCCGTGCCGATCGGGTGGCGCTACCTGACCCGCGTCGTCCACAACATTCACGCGTCCGTGCTGGCCGGCACCGGCAAACCCGGAGGGGCGCCCAGCGACTAACGGGGCCAGCGGCAGAGCCGGCGAACGGCACCGACGGTCCTGTGGGTGACGGCTGCCACGGCCGCAACTGCGGCTGTGTCACGCGGACCCGCTGGTGCCGAATCGTGGAACCTGGCCAGCACAGTGGCCGGCGCTCCCCGCTGCGTCCTCCGGTCGAGGTGTTTGTGAGTGCTCCTCACTTGCTGGCGTTTAAATGTCACCACGGTGCGTCGTGCCGGCAGCAGCGATTATTGAGTGTTACATTAATATTTACGTAGCTTTTTATACAGTTGTCTTGAAATGTTATTTTGACTAAGCCTCGGAGTTTGGTGCTACCCAAGATGGAACGTTTTATTGCGGCCAATTTATTTACTTGGCCAAGTAAATATGAGAACGTTAAGGGTGGTGGTAACGCTTCGAGACCCTCTGGGAAGCCCTCGTGGCTGCCAAGAGGAGGATCCTGCTTTGGGATGCTTGTTCCACCCCTGTTGATAAATGTTCTGAGGTGAGCCGCAAACCGCGGTACGCAGAGAAAGTTCACACGTACTCAGGGGATCGCACGCAGAGGTAATGAGATGGGAGGGGGTGTTCACGAACCCACTGGCTGCTCTGCCACTTCTGAGCCACTTGCTTTCTTGGTGAATTCTGGCGTTTCGCACGCACGTTTACGAATTGCTCAATTGGAATTACTTGTAGGTCCGAATGATGACCTTGTTTGACTTTGTGCAGCTAAAGTTACTCGGGTTGGCGCCGAGACAGGCAGACAGACAAATTATGTTTATTTAGTCTGGCCACATCAAGACATTGGTAGCTCTTAACGCTTTCTCTACCCTGGGTGGTACCAGCAATGGCAGTCTCTGCTCTGGTTTAATGCACTGTTTGACCTGATGAAAGTTTTACATGTTCCTTCCTGCTGTTGAGTGCATAAAGAAGGCCTACACGGGGTGCACCAGGGGTGACTTAAACCCCCCAGCCAACCGTGCAAAGCTACACAACACAAACCTGGTGCGCGAATGAGTGGGAAGGGTGAATTAGTTATTGCATGGGTGAATGGTTTGTTGGGTGAGTGAATGAATGGGTAGGTGAGCTAGTGAGTGAGTGTAGGTGGGGTGTATGGGTGAGCAGGTTACAAAGTGGGTAGGTGGGCTAATGAGTGAGTGACCAAGTGGAGAAGTCTTTTGCAACTGGAGTCTCCTATGATAGGAAACTCACACCCCAGAACTGCAGGCGCGCAGCTGGTAACACTTTGCCGTCTTAAAGGTGTTTAGAAATTAAACTTTTGATTCGGATCGGGTGTAAATACACTTCCCGTGCCTCTCACTTCTGAGCTTATTTGTTTTCTCGCTTCAATTCGTTTCTACTACTTGTGCCATTTTTCCCTCCTTTGTGCTTAAACATTCGCTTGTTTAGTCTCTGAAGCGTAGTGAATAAAAACCGAATACTCAACAAAAAATATGCGAATTTGTTGTCCTTCCCCTGCACCTCCAATTAGCACGGTTGGTTATGAACAGTGCGCAAGAAGTTCTACATACAACTTGTGCTGTGTTGTGCTTATCATAATAACGTTTTTAAAATGTGAGTTGCGTGTGCAGTTTTCACATGGAGGGCGTGGGAAACCTTGGTATGTTTCTCCAACTGCGTGAGTTTGCGTGTTTGTTTGCACAAACTGGCGGTGTAACGGGGAGCACGGGTCACGTGATTCCGCCTGTCATCTCAATCCGTGAACCCATAACACCTGGGCCTGTCCTGCAACATACTTCCAGTCAGCCTCTGACACTTCACATGGCCTCAGTGCACCCAGCCTGGCACAGGCACCATGGTTGGTGTCGCCGGCCCTTAGTAGCGTGGCGAATAGCGGCGGTTAATGTTGCATTCGTAAAATGACAGGTTAGTTTTATATGAACGGGTTTAGGTCGCGGACAAGACTTTTGAATAAAAGCGGCTCGATTTCACAGAGGAGATTTGCGGGGTAGTGTGCTCGCTGGAAATACTTCAAAATACGGCCGGTAACTGATGATGAATAATGGGCATGCATTGTAGAGAAACATTTAAATTAATAATGGGCATACATTCTAGAGAAACAACATTCAAATTCAAACGCCCTACGCATCTCCCGCCAATCGCAACAAGTATTCTCTTATCCGCTATGCAGCCGTTGCGATATTCAATCGGTTGTTTTAAGAGAGGTCAATAACGTTAAGAAGGTCATTCTAAATCGGTGCGGTGTCTGTAAACGGCTCACAGCCTGTATTGAGCACGCAACCGCCACCATTGGAGCGGCGAGGGCGTAGGTTGGAGTCCGGCGTGGAACCTCACGGGTCCTGGAGCAGAGCCGACAGGCGGGGGTCGCTCTGCAGCCTGCGCTCCATCTCCGCGTAGACGTGCGGCGCAGTGGCCTTGTGCCTGCGGAGAGAGCCTCACTGTGAGCCTCCACCGTGCAGGGCGAGCGCTGGGGGTGAGCGGGGGTGGGTGAGCGGTGAGCGAGGGTGGGTGAGCGGTGAGTGAGGGCGAGCGGCGAGGCCACACCTGTGTAGGCGCTGCTCGGTGACGAGGATGCGGAAGGCCGCCTCCTCGCACGCGGCGTTGCGCTCCTCCTCCCCCGCGCGGCCCCCGGGGCCCCGTGCCCCCTCCTGCTGCTGCAGCTCCTCCACCTCCTACGGCCGCCACCAAAAGACAAAGGCCCCCCATGTAGCCTTTAACAGGTTGCTGGGGCAAGTGCCGCAAGCGAGCACCGATGTTGTGTGTGTGTGTCTCACTCTCCAAGTGGTCGCGTGGGTTTTCCTCCGCATTTAGATTCAACGTCACACGTTTAAGAGTATTTTGGCTGCTATATATTTCCAGGCGATAAGCCTTCGTTGAGCTATCGTTTGTGGCCAGGCCGCTTCTGAAAACGAGCTTCACAGCTCTGTGGGGGGACCCTGACCCGGTAAGGAAAAGGTCATTGCAACGTTGAGACGGGGCGGTTCAGCCATGCGCGCTCTGCACGCGACCCCTTGACCCCCGCAAGCACTCGGCACGGGAGACGTGACCCTGCGCCGCGCCACCTTCTCGAGGCGCTCCTGCATGGCGTTGGCCTGCGCCGTGAGCTGGCGCTTGACGTCGTCCAGGCACTCGCTCCGCAGCCGCTCCGCGTGCCGCCGCGTCAGCTCCTCGGGGTTGCCCAGGCGCGCCAGGAACGGTGCCAGGTAGTCCAGCTGGGGCTCCTCCCGGCGCCGCTGCTCCTCCTGCCGCAAGCGCTCCTAGTACGGCGTGCGTACGGCGCGACGTGCATTAGCCTGGCTCCGTTAGCCTCCAGTACACAGGTGTCTCCGTCTGGCTCTGTGAGCCTCTGGTATAAAGGTGCCTTGGTCTCAAGACAACCCAGCTTACACGGCTTACGTTTGGCACCTTCGTGATGGCCACTGCGCTGTTATTATTGGCGTGGATACATATTCACACGGTTCATGAGAATCTTTATGGTGTCTTCAGCACATCCAGCAGCTATGGGGTGGGGATAGTGGTGGTGGTGGTGATGATGATGATGGCGGCAGTAGCACGTGCAGGGTTTGGCAGTGTTGGTAATGCACTGGTGGTCGTGGTGGCGGTGATACGGCGGTGGTGGTGGTGGGGTGATTGTGGTAAAGTGGTGTAGTACCAGCTCCTGGCGCCGCTGCTTGGTGCGGTGGTTGCGCAGCGTGTCGTACACGCTCAACACGAGCTCACTCGTCGCCTCCTCCTGCGCTCGCACAAGAAGCATCTCCCGCACCTACACAGGGACACGGAGACCACGGAGACACGGACACCGTAGATACACCCGCACGGGGACCCAGTAACACAGACACGAGGTGTGGAGACGCGGGGTCCCGCATCGCACCTCCTCCTCGGATTTCCGCACGAGCTGCAGCGTCTTCTCCTCGGCGGCCATGAGCTCCACGAGCATCTCGTAAATCTCTCGCTTCTTCAACTGCGGAGCGGCGGGGTCGGCCTGCAGCACAGGGGAGGGGGGGGGGCGACCGGGGTCACAAACCACCCCCTCGCTCAGCGCACCCCGGGTGGTACGTCGACTTCGAGGAGTCGAGGTGTTCTGACCGCCAGGGCTCGGCTGCGGCGCTCTTGGCACACCCGGCGCTCACCCGGCGCTCACCCGGCGCACCTGGTAAGCGGAGTAGGAGTCGGGCCCGGGCGGTTCGATGGTTCCGTCGGTGCCGCAGGGCGGCTTGAGGAAGTGGCGGCAGGAGCGGGTGATGCGCGCCGGGTCCTGGTGGTAGAGCACGCTCATGCGCTCCTCCGCCAGCAGAAACGTGCGGCGCGACGGGTCCTCGTCCGCCGGACGCGACGGGTCCCGATCAAAGTCTTCGGTCACCTTCTGCAGGGGTGGGGGTGGGGAGACGCACGCTGGCACGTCGATCGCTCGGGGCCCACGAGTGTCACCAGGTCCACGAGCGTCACCAAGACCATGAACCTCACCAGGACCATGAACTTCGCTAGGACTACGAGTCTCACCCGGGACACGAGTCTCACCAGGCCTACGAATCTCACCAGGACCACGAGTCTCACCAGGACCATGAACCTCGCCAGGACCATGAACCTCGCCAGGACCACGAGTCTCACCCGGGGCACGAGTCTCACCAGGACCACGAGTCTCACCAGGACCACGAACCTCGCTAGGACCACGAGCGTCACCAGGACCACGAGCGTCACCAGGACCACGAGTCTCACCCGGGGCACGAGTCTCACCAGGATGGGGCGGCAGTGCGAGTCGGCCCCCGCGGGCCCGGCGCGCTTGACGCGAGGCCCCAGCTGGGCGTGGCGAGCGCGCAGGCGGTCGCCACGCCCCTCGAACTCCTCCCACAGCTCCAGCGCCGTCTCGCGGCGGCTCCGCAGGCCGTCGACGCGCGCCGCGCTGTAGAACTCGGCCCGCCGCTCCGTCTCGGGCACCGGCGATACAAACGTGTGCTCTGGTGGGCACGCCAGTGGAGAGCGACGGGGAGGGGAGAGGCGTGGAGGGGAGTAGAGTGAGATGAGAGGGAAGAGGTAGGAGAGTGTTTGGAGGGGAGTAGAGTGAGATGAGAGGGAAGAGGTACGAGAGTGTTTGGAGGGGAGTAAAGTGAGATGAGAGGTAGGAGAGTGCGTGGATGGGGAGTGAGATGAGCGGGGAGAGGTAGGAGAGTGGAGGGGAGTAGAGTGAGATGAGAGGTAGGAGAGTGTGTTGATGGGGAGTGAGATGAGCGGGTAGAGGTAGGAGAGTGGAGGGGAGTAGAGTTTGGCGGCGGAGTGTCGGATCAACGCCAGCAAGGCCCAGTGGCCTCCACCCCACCCCCACGTCCCCCTCCCCCTGTACCTTTAAGGCAGTCGGCGCGTCCGGGCGCGAAGTGTTCGGTGACCAGGCCCGACTCCTTGTTGAGCAGCTTGCGCTCCAACCGGTCCTTGCGGTGGCTGTAGGTCTCCCTCACCTCCACCAGCTGGGTGCCTGCGCCAGTCACCACCACCACGCACGCATCATGCACGCACGCATCATGCACGCACGCATCATGCACGCACGCATGCAGGCGACAGCCGGCGGCGTCACGGAGCGGCCGCCGGCGTTAACGAGCGGCCCCGGCATCAGGCGGCAACGAGCGATGGAGATTGCCGGTGGTCGTCGAAGACTCAAAAGCCGCGATCCACACGGCCACCGTCAGGGCAGTTTAACGCGTCGTAGTCGTAGTAGAGGCCTTCGTGACCAATATTATTCATAATCAAATTTTTTTTTTGGTTAGATCACGTAAATACCGCCAACACCCAGCACAGCCAATCAGTAGGTTCATCCCGTAAATAAAACGTGCCAATTCGTTACGACTTCAGCACACCAGTTGTATGTTGGAGAGTAAACCCACAACGTTTACAATTTCAGTACCGTGACATTTCGCCGGCCGATCACAACCAGGGCAGCAGTTGCCGGCAATCGTCACCGGCAACGGTTGCCGCGGCAGTATCCTCTTTGCCACTCGAAATCCAAAACAATTCTGATTCACGACGAGCACAAACAACCCGGTGCATCGGGGGGGAGGCAGTTGTGGCGCCTGTGCACCGAGCAAGTGACCGAGTGACCGAGCGAGCAAGTGACCGACTTAGCGAGCGACCGAGCAAGTGACCGAGTGAGCAAGTGACCAAGCGAGTGACCGACTGAGCGAGTGACCGACTGAGCGAGTGACCGACTGAGCGAGTGACCGACTGAGCGAGTGACCGACTGAGCGAGTGACCGACTGAGCGATTGAGCAAGCGAGTGACCGACTGAGCGAGTGACCGACTGAGCGAGTGACCGACTGAGCGAGCGATTGAGCGAGCGATTGAGCGAGTGAGTGACCTATCAACCGAGTGAGTGACCAAGTAAGTGACCGACTGAGCGAGCGACCGAACAAGAGAGTGAGTGATTGAGCGAGCGACCGATTGAGTGATCAAGTGACCGAGCGAGTGACCGACCAAGTGAGTGACCGAGCGAGCGACCGACCGAGCGAGCGAGCGTGCGAGTGACCGCCGGCGGACTCACACTCGTCATCGCGGAAGACGGAGAGGCGCGACGTGAGTCCGTCACGCTGCAGGAACGGTGCCAGCTTCTCGAGCCGCGCTCGGCGGAACTGCACCGTCCTCTTGCCACCAGGGCAGCGCAGCTCCAAGTCTGCACGCGAGAGTTACTTCATCTTAATTAAACGTGGTTTTTTTATTGCCTTTCTCCACCAGTGCTGTCCCCGATCGTGCTGCTGGCATTGTTGCACTGCAATGGGCACAGCCGGATCCTACCATGTGGCGACAGCTGGATCCTGCCCACCCACGATGGAGGCAGCGTGGACCCCGGCCGCTCCTCCTCCTTCTGCCCACGCTGCAGGCAGACACGCAGACGACACGCGACTGTTACTGCTGACCCTAACCCAACACTAGCGCCATCGCTAACCCTATCGCTAGCTCTACCACTGACCCTATCACGAACCTAACCCAACACTAGCGCTATCGCTAACCTATCGCTAACCCTATCACGAACCTAACCCAATACTAACGCTATCGCTAACCTATCGCTAACTCTACCACTAACCCTATCACGAACCTAACCCAACACTAGCGCTATCGCTAACCTATCGCTAACCCTACCACTAACCCTATCACAAACCTAACCCAATACTAACGCTATCGCTAACCTATCACTAACTCTACCACTAACCCTATCACGAACCTAACCTAATACTAACGCTATCGCTAACCTATCGCTAACTCTACCACTAACCCTATCACGAACCTAACCCAACACTAGCGCTATCGCTAACCTATCGCTAACCCTACCACTAACCCTATCACGAACCTAACCCAACACTAGCGCTATCGCTAACTCTACCACTAACCCTATCACGAACCTAACCCAACACTAGCGCTATCGCTAACCTATCGCTAACCCTACCACTAACCCTATCACAAACCTAACCCAATACTAACGCTATCGCTAACCTATCACTAACTCTACCACTAACCCTATCACGAACCTAACCTAATACTAACGCTATCGCTAACCTATCGCTATACCTACCACTAACCCTATCACGAACCTAACCCAACACTAGCGCTATCGCTAACTCTACCACTAACCCTATCACGAACCTAACCCAACACTAGCGCTATCGCTAACCTATCGCTAACCCTACCACTAACCCTATCACGAACCTAACCCAATACTAACGCTATCGCTAACCCTATCGCTAACTCTACCACTAACCCTATCACGAACCAAACCCAAACCCTAACCTTAAACTCATGACTCTAACCCAACACTCAATCCTAACGTAGCCGTAACTCCTATCCCTAACCCAACTCTAACCTCATCCAAAACTCTCACCTCACCTAAACCCAATCCTAACCCGATCCCTCAAACCTCCCCCAGACCCCTGGCTGCACCTCCTACGTACCTCCGGATCGTCCTCCTCGTCCTCCTCCTCGTTACTGCCGTCGCCGTAGCCGCCGTGAGCCGCTGATCCGGCCGTGCGTGAACGAACGCCGGGGAACACGGCCTCCCAGCCGAGCGCGTCGTGGACATGGAACGACACTCCCTGCGGTACACACACACACACACACGCGGGCGGCACACACACACACACACACGCGGGCGGCACACACACGCACACACACGCACACACACGCACACACACGCACGGGTGACACACACACGCGGGCGGCACACACCCCGGCCGATGCCGCGAGATTAAAACTACAAAGCAATTTTTTGTTATTCTAAGCAGGCAAGGTCCCACTGAGCTACTGTGGAGTTCGTTCTCACAAGCGGCCCCGGCTATCGCGAATGTTTGCTCGACAAAGCGGGCTTGTCACGTGGACATTTATGGCGGCCAAAATACTCCAAACGCGTGACGTTGATTCTAAATGTTGAGGGAAAAACCGGAGGACCCGGAGAAAAATTTGCGCGACCACATGCAAACATGCAAACTCCAAATATACAGCAGCAGGCGTCAGGGTCGGGATCGAACACATGGCCTGTAAACCAGGCGAGGTAGTTAACATCTGACCATGATGACGAAAACAATAATAATATGTCCGGGTTAGTCGAGTCCCCGTCGTCATTCGGTGGACAACACCGCGGGCTATCTCGGAAGTGGCTATCGCTAGCGGCCACGAGCCACCACTAGCCACCGCTAGCGGCCACGAGCCACCACTAGCCACCACTAGCCACCGCTAGCCACCGCTAGCCAGCACTAGCGAGCACTAGCCATTGTTAGCCATCGTCATACTGCGGCGCTAGCCATGGCTAGCCATCGCTAGCCACTACTAGCCACCGCTAGCCACCATTAGCCACCGCTAGCCACCGCTAGCCATCGCTACCATCGCTAGCCACCGCTAGCCACCGCTAGCCACCGCTAGCCACCGCTAGCCACCACTCGCCACCATTAGCCACCACTAGCCATCGCTAGCCGCCACTGGCTATCGCTAGCCACCACTAACCACCGCTACCATCACTAGCCACCACTGGCCACCACTTGCCACCACTAGCCACCACTAGCCGTCGCTTGCCGATGTGCCGCGGCGCTAGCCATGGCTAGCCGTCGCGAGCCGCCGCTAGCTATCGTCGCGCTGCGGCACGCGCCCACAAGCTCGGCCACCTGGCAGCCGTGGCGGCAGTCCTGCACGTTGACCCAGTAGTTGCGGTGGTTCCACACGCTCTCCACGCCCAGGAAGCGCCCGTCGGCCGTGGAGAAGGCGCGACCGCTCAGCGGCTCCACGAAGAACGCCTCGGCCACGCCGCGCCGGCCCGGCCGCACCAGCACCCAGCAGTGGACGCGCAGCCCGTGCAGCGGGTCCAGAGACGGGCGCTCGCGCTCCTGCACGCAAGACGAAGACAAAGATCCCCTGTGAGCCGGAATTGAACTCGGGTCGCCTGGGTTTGTAGCGCAGCACGCTAACCTCTACGCTACCATAGCACACATATACACATACACATAAGACGGGAAAAGATCCCCCGTGTAGCTCGTAACAGACCGTAGGAGCAAGTGCTGTTAGCGAGTAGCACCTATGAAGGCCGGCACGGCACACGAGGGGGTGGCCAACACAACGCTCGACTGCCTTTGTCTCCCCAGTGGCGATGCTTATACAAAACACCAGGTACTCATTTGAGGCTGAGTAGTCCTGGGGGAGGCCCAGGATCGGTTCAGATAATCGTCACTGGTGTTGGCCTCGAGCGGGAATCGAACTCAGGTCACCAGGTTCGTAGCGCAGCGTAGCGCTAACCGCTACACCACCGCTGCAACACCAACCGCCATTCGCCACTATGTGGCAGTGACGTCACCTCGGCGCTTGTGCCAGGCCAGGTGCACCTTGAGGCCACGTGAAGTGTCGAAGGCTCGCTGCTGGCCGAAGGTCACGGGACAAACCCAGGTGGCATGGGCTGACTGACCGAGACGACTGGCTGACGCACCGGCCGTGCTGCCCGCACGCGGCACACCAAGCATCGTCACCATCACCATCTCGCGCCGCCATCGACGCCGACACGCCTAAGCGGCAGAGCGCCGCCTCCGCTTCTCACCGCGGCGGCGGCCTCCTCCTCCCGCCGGCGCCGCTCCTGCGCGGCCCGCTCCTCGGCCTGCCGGCGCTCCTCCAGCCGCTCCTCGTGGTGGCTGCGCAGGTCCCGCGCTCGCCGCACCGCGTACTTGTTGGGCGGGCGCTGGGGCTCGGCTTGCTCGGGCTGCGCTCCCGCACGCAACCACAAAGATCCCCACCCCCCGCCACCGCACACGCACCCATGTAGCGCGCACATAGACTGTTGGGGCGAGAGCCGTGAGTGAGGAGCACCCACGAAGGCCGGCACGTTGGCGTGGGCAAACGCCGTGCCACGGTCGCCGGGCCGTCTTCCCGTCGCCAACGTTTTACGCATGGGTGGTGGTGGTGGCGTTGGTGGTGGTGGCGTTGGTGGTGGCGTCAAAAACGTGCACATTCCCTCACCGGCTCGGGCTCGCGGAGGAGCGGGCAGTCGGCGCGCGACTCGTCGGCGAGGCACGTGGGCCGGTCGGCATAGCCGCACACGCAGTAGGCGTCGTAGCCGGCGCCCAGCAGCAGCGAGCACAGCAGGGAGCTCGCCTCCAGGGAGCTGGCGCGCTGCCGGCGCAGCACCGTCACCGGCGACGCCAGCCGCGACGGCTGCGGCGGGGAGGGGGCGATGGCAGTTCGTGTAACTCCAACCAAGTCGTTTGCCGCATGGTTTTTCGCAAACGTGACCTCGGCGCGCGACAAGGTCACGTGATCGTTAACGTCCAATGCGAAGCAGGCGGCGCGTAGCAGCGTCTTACGGTTGATACAAAGTAAAAGATCCCCCGTGTAGCCTGTAACACTGTTGGGGCAAGTGCTGTTAGCGAGCACCTATGAAGACCAGAATGGCACACGAGGGGGTGGGTGGCCAGCACCACGCCCGGCCGCCTTTGTCTCCCCAGGGGCGATGTTTACTACACACCGCACCAGGTACTCATTTGAGGCTGAGTCGACCTCAGGGAGGCCCAGGACCGGTTCAGATAATCGTCACCGGTGTTGGCCGTGAGCGGGAATCGTACTCGGGTCGCCGGGTTCATAGCGCAGTGTAGCGCTAACCTCTACACTACCGCTCCCCGCTATTCCGGTTGATACACACACACAAGGTGGTGTTAGTCCAATCGAACGTCACGTTTATAGGACACCTTCGGCGTGAGACGCAGCGCCTCCGGTTAGCGCGGTTGGCTCCGTGCGGTGCGAAAGAAGTTCAACGCACATATGCACACCTACAGAACGAGTGACAGCGAGGGGGGGGTACCAATATCGGGTACCAAAGGGGAATCATTTCGACCTGGTAACACTGTTTTGTTTATTTGGCAAATAATTTCTGGATTCTACATTGGGCGGTGTCTCACACTTCACAAGAAAACTCAACACATTAATCTAGAACACCATGCCCTTTAAAGAGGAAAAGAAAGGCAATTATAGTTTGATGTACTATCAAGAAGGGCCATTGCCCGAAACGTCGCCTATTCTACATATATATAAAGTCCACGGGTGTTATTGTAAGTATGTTGAACTTCATTGGAACCTCATTTGCCAGTAAAAAATATGATAATTGGTTTTTTACCCTTCTATCTGGCAACAAAACTGACACCTTTTTTTACAAGGAGTCATGTTTGCATTGACCACAATACCTGCAGTCATAATGCAAACAAAAAACATAACTCTGATAATGTATGCACTGGCCTTGAAGTTGATTGGTCCACACCCGAGACAGCTTTCCTTAGAGCCTAGTCTAACATGGGTTGGACCAGATGAACTTCTTTCGCGCCGTACGTAGCCAACCGCGGGTAATCGGAGGCGCGGCGGGAGGACGACACCCGTACCCCTCGTGTGGTGCCCTCACCAGCGCCGTGGGCGGCTCAAGCGGAGCAGGCACCACGCAGTCGGAGACGAAGCTGGCGCTGCCCTGCCAGTGGTGCAGCTCGAGGTAGGGCACCAGCGTGGGCCTCAGGGTGGTGCACACGAACTTCTGCACGCGCGGCTCACACAAAGACAAAGATTCCACGCTGTGCAGTATAGCCTTTGCGAGGCTCTTGGGGCAAGTGCTGTTATAGCGAGCAGCACCGGTGCTGAGAACACGACAGGGCGGTGTGGAGAGTTCAGTTTCATGTATGAGGTATAACCCTGTGAGTCATGCGGCTCTTGACTCGGGTGCAACCGCAACAACAAAAACATGAACAAGAAACATCTTAAAGTGACTACACGCAACAAAAAAATCCAGGAAAAAACAGCAAAGTCTTCCAGAAAAAACAACGCTGTGTGCAAAAATCCCAGTGGGATGCAAGTCAAACAATAACAACCATAAGACAATGTCGATCAGCACCCATGCCTGGTGGCTAGGAGATGTTAACTACCTCGCTAGGTATACAGGAGTTCGTGGATTCGATCCCGACCCTGACGCCTGCTGCTGTATACTTCTCTCTCTCCCTGTGGTTGCGAGGATTTTTCTCCGGCTCCTCCGGTTTTCCCCTCCACATTTTGCATCATCACCACGCGTTTAGAGTTTTTGGCTGCTAGAAATTTCCACGCGATGAGCTGCGGTGATTCGTTGAGCTATCTAGCTCAATGGGCCTTACCTGGCAAAATAATAAGTATAACCCGTAAAAACTAAGTTTTTCACTATAAATCCTTTATATGCGTGGCGGCTAGAGTCTTCTCGTCCTCTGGCTTGAGATGGCTGCCACCTATGGGTCAGATGATTGTCTGCCAGTATTAAGCAATTGGTAATTAAATATTTAATTTGTTTTCCCTAAACAGTGTAAAATTTTGGAAAAAAAATGTCACGAACATTAATTGTCTCGCACAACGAGTCTGTGTGGAAAATGTCAGCTCGATTGGATTACGGGAAGTGGGTTAAAAAACGACTGAAAGATTTGCACGGTCGTAAGCAAGCAAGCAAGCACGCAAGCAAGCAAGCGAACTTAATATAAAGGATTTAAAAAGTAGCTAGTACCAGCAGGCTGTCTCTGCATTGCCACTCTTCGCACATGGCACCAGGTGCCCGTTAAAGGCAGAGTGGAACTAGGGGAGGCTCAGTTACCGGTTAAGATACAGTATTCACCACCGATGTTGGCCGTGAGCGGGAATCGAACTCGGCCCGTCTGGTTTCGCAGTGCTGCAACCAACACACTCCCGCACCCCAAAGACAAAGATCCCCCGTGTAGCCTTTACCAGACTGTCGGGGCAAGTGCTGTTAGCGAGCACCTATGAAGGCCGCAACGGCACACGAGGGGGTAGGCGGCCAGCACCACGCCCGGCCGCCTTTGTCTCCCCAGTGGCGATGCTTACACACCGCACCAGGTACTCATTTGAGGCCGAGTCGACCTAGGAGAGGCCCATGACCGGTTCAGATATAATCGCTGTGAGCGGGAATTGAACTCGGGCCGCCGGGTCCGTAGCACTACCGCTCCCACCACACACACTGCACGCACCACCCACCCCACCCACATCCACACACATCCACCCACCTACCCACCTACCCACCCACCTCCACCCACCTACCCACCCACCTCCACCCACCTACCCACCCACCTCCACCCACCTACCCACTCACCTCCACCCACCTCCACTCACACACACACCTGGGCCCCTGGCATGCCACCCACCCACACATCTGGAGCCCTCCCATGCCCCCCACCCACACACCTGCCCCCCTCCCCACACTCACCTGCACCCCGCACTCGTTGACGGGGCAGAGCAGCAGCGGCCTGCGGTCGGGGTACAGCAGCGAGTACTGCCGCTGGAACGAGTCCGCGAGCACCAGCAGCTCCTCCTCGCGCGGGGAGTTCTCCCGGAACGAGGGCGGCGGCTCGTCCCAGCCGCCTGCCGGGGGGTCGCAGGCGCCCGCAGGAGGCGCCGGGGGGACTGCCCCGCGCCCGGCCTCGCGAGCTGCTGCTGCTGCTGCGGGCCGATGCTCGCGGTCGTCGTCACCTGCCGGGGCCTCTCCCTCGGGCCCGGCGGCTCTCGATGTCGCCTCCTCCTCGGCCTCATCCTCCTCCTCGGCCTTCTTGTCTCCCTCCTGCTCGGTTGCCCTGCGACCGTCCCAGAGGCGCCAGGGGCGTGTGATGCCGTGCAGCGGTACAAGTGTCAGCTGACGAGGTGGGGGTTAAAGTGTGTTGTGAGCTGGTGTGAGCTTGAAGCGTGTGATGGTGTGAGTTTGAAGCGTGTGATGGTGTGAGCTTGAAGTGTGTGATGGTGTGAGCTTGGAGCGTGTGATGGTGTGAGTTTGGAGTGTGTGATGGTGTGAACTTGAAGTATGTGATGGTGTGAGCTTGAAGTGTGTGATGGTGTGAGTTTGAAGTGTGTGATGGTGTGAACTTGAGGCGTGTGATGGTGTGAGTTTGAAGTGTGTGATGGTGTGAGCTTGAGGCGTGTGATGGTGTGAGCTTGTAGTGTGTGATGGTGTGAGTTTGAAGTGTGCGATGGTGTGAGCTTGGAGTGTGTGATGGTGTGAGCTTGAAGTGTGTGATGGTGTGAGTTTGGAGTGTGTGATGGTGTGAGTTTAAAGTGTGTGATGGTGTGAGCTTGTAGTGTGTGATGGTGTGAGTTTGAAGTGTGTGATGGTGTGAGCTTGGAGTGTGTGATGGTGTGAGCTTGAAGTGTGTGATGGTGTGAGCTTGAAGTGTGTGATGGTGTGAGCTTGAAGCGTGTGATGGTGTGAGTTTGAAGCGTGTGATGGTGTGAGCTTGAAGTGTGTGATGGTGTGAGCTTGGAGCGTGTGATGGTGTGAGTTTGGAGTGTGTGATGGTGTGAGTTTGAAGTGTGTGATGGTGTGAGTTTGAAGTGTGTGATGGTGTGAGTTTGAAGTGTGTGATGGTGTGAACTTGTAGTGTGTGATGGTGTGAGTTTGAAGCGTGATGGTGTGAGCTTGAAGCGTGTGAGCTGGTGTGAGCTTGGAGTGTGTGATGGTGTGAGCTTGAAGTGTGATGGTGTGAGCTTGAAGTGTGTGATGGTGTGAGCTTGAAGTGTGTGATGGTGTGAGCTTGAAGCGTGTGATGGTGTGAGTTTGAAGTGTGTGATGGTGTGAGTTTGAAGTGTGTGATGGTGTGAGCTTGAAGTGTGTGATGGTGTGAGCTTGAAGTGTGATGGTGTGAGCTTGAAGTGTGTGATGGTGTGAGCTTGAAGTGTGTGATGGTGTGAGCTTGAAGCGTGTGATGGTGTGAACTTGAAGTGTGTGATGGTGTGAGTTTGAAGTGTGTGATGGTGTGAGCTTGAAGTGTGTGATGGTGTGAGTTTGTAGTGTGTGATGGTGTGAGTTTGAAGTGTGTGATGGTGTGAGCTTGAAGTGTGTGATGGTGTGAGTTTGTAGTGTGTGATGGTGTGAGTTTGAAGTGTGTGATGGTGTGAGCTTGAGGCGTGTGATGGTGTGAGTTTGAAGTGTGTGATGATGTGAGTTTGAAGTGTGTGATGGTGTGAGTTTGAAGTGTGTGATGGTGTGAGCTTGAAGTGTGTGATGGTGTGAGTTTGAAGTGTGTGATGGTGTGAGTTTGAAGTGTGTGATGGTGTGAGTTTGAAGTGTGTGATGGTGTGAGCTTGAAGTGTGTGATGGTGTGAGTTTGAAGTGTGTGATGGTGTGAGTTTGAAGTGTGTGATGGTGTGAGTTTGAAGTGTGTGATGGTGTGAGTTTGAAGTGTGTGATGGTGTGAGTTTGTAGTGTGTGATGGTGTGAGCTTGAAGTGTGTGATGGTGTGAGCTTGAAGTGTGTGATGGTGTGAGTTTGACCAGGAGATCAACCCCGTTCAGAGGCGTTAAAGAGTCCTTCTCTTGCCAGGGCGACGTTCTATTACACGAAGGCGAACTGAGGACTGTACACTATATACTGCATAATATAGTAACAAACAAACGTTTATATTTCACAAACCAAGATTCACTTCAAATCAGTAAAATGTACACTTTGACGGTGCAATTAATCCACGCGGGGCAGCATCGCGTGGGTGGTAGTGTTAGGAGGAACACTGTAGTTATTGTGGTGATGGTTGTTGTTGTTGTGGTGATTGTTGTTGTTGTGGTGGTGGTTGTTGTTGTGGTGGTTGTTGTGTTTGATTCTATTGCAGTTGTAGTCGTGGTTGGCAATGTTTCTGCAGTTGTAGTGGTTGGTTGCTGTGGTAGTTGTAGATGTAGTTGTGGTAGTTGTAGCGGTAGTTGTGGTGGTTGTAGTGGTTGGTTGCTGTGGTAGTTGTAGTGGTGGATGTAGTTGTGGTAGTTGTAGCGGTAGTTGTGGTGGTGGTTGTGGGAGTTGTAGTGTTGGTGATTGTAGTGTTTGTAGTTGTGGTGTTTGTAGTTGTGGTGTTTGTAGTTGTGGTGGCAGTGGTTGTGGTGAATATAGTGGTGGTGGTTGTAGTAGTAGTGGTGGTGAATATAGTTGTGGTGGTTGTAGTAGTAGTGGTTGTAGTGGTGAATATAGTTGTGGTGGTGGTGGTTGTAGTAGTAGTATATTGGTGGTTGTAGTGGTGGCTGTAGTGGTGGTTGTTGTAGTGGTTGTTGTGGTGGTGGTCTCACAGGAGTCGAGGTCTGGGTGACCTCGGCTCCTCTCCGGGCCCTACGCCGCCTTCCATTGTTTCTTCTCCACCTCGTCTCCCTCCTCGTCTATCGCCCCTCCTCCCAATTCCTCCTCCTCTCTCTCCCCTCGTCTCCCTGTCTCTCTCCCCGTCTCTCTCCCCTCGTCTCCCTGTCTCTCTCTCCGTGTCTCTCTCCGTGTCTCTCTCCGTGTCTCTCCCCGTGTCTCTCCCTGTCTCTCTCCCTGTCTCTCTCCCCTCGTCTCCCTGTCTCTCTCTCTCTGTCTCTCTCCGTGTCTCTCTCCCTGTCTCTCTCCGTCTCTCTCCCTGTCTCCCTCTTTTCCCCGATCTCTCTCCCCGTGTCTCTCTCCCCGTCTCTCTCCGTGTCTCCCTCTTTTCCCCGATCTCTCTCCCCGTGTCTCTCTCCCCGTCTCTCTCCGTGTCTCTCTCCGTGTCTCCCTCTTTTCCCCGATCCCTCTCCCCGTGTCTCTCTCTACGTTTCCAAGACACGTGTTGACGCTTCGCGTTGCTCAGCAACCAAGTGCGCCCCTGCGTCACATGACGCGGAAGTCCCCCCCCCCTCCCCGCGCGCACGGAACCACGTGACAACAACACGAGCAAGCACGTGGCCGACCTCACTCATTCGGGTGGCGGACGATTCGGAGCGCCGCGTGGGTTTTAAATATTTTCTGTTTATTTTGTTACAAAGAAAACAACAATAGCACAACACAGGAACGGCGGAGGGGAGGGGGGCGGCACAGTCAGCAGCACTGCAACTCATACAGCAGCGCAGCCACCGACAGACCCCGCCGTGCCTGCGCGTGGTCGCATCATCATCATCTTGACATTAAATACATGGTTGTGACGTTCATGTAAAAAGCTGCATAACCTCATAAAACACACAAGACACGGGATTTTTTTTTTTTAAACACCTAAATAACGTTATAGAAAACAAGAATTGCCGCGCGACTTTTAAGTACGTACAACAAAATATCCCGTGACCCCCATTCTAAAAAAAAATCCCTCAGTCAAACAAACACTGCACTTACCCCCCCTACCTCCCCAAGACTCCGCCGTACTTCAATACTCTTGCTGTCCCGATCCACGGCTAATACAGACGCGCGACATTACAATCCCCCCCCCACACCACACCAATGTAGCCCGGTCGATCGGTCCGGCAGGCGTGTTTCTATGTACACTTTGTCCCCTTTAAAATACACCCGTGGGAACAACACGCAAGCTACGCACACTTAAAGAGGTCTCTGTACAGCACTCGGGATGGCAGTTACGTCTGGGGGTCATCACTTTTTTACACGGCTAAAACTACGACCACTTTCACCCTTACCGAGGATTGCAATGGCAAATGAAAAAATATAATATCAGTAATAGTACAAAATAAACAACAAAGATGTATGTAATCGTGAAACCCGCACAGAGGCTGTGGCCAGCCACCACACGGCTAATTTATGAAGGGAGACGCGATCCAAACACGACGATATACAGTAAACCCTGCAAACCAGCAACATCCTTTTCAGAGTGTACTGCAAAATGAGACCCAGTTCAAACTCGTACGTAAAAGTGCTGCTGGGCATTGGTCCAGAAAGCCCACAAACTGATGGGACTAAAATAATTTACTTGAATGTGGCGACGCGAACCGGGACCATTTTATCCACTGACACCGTAAAGCCTTGAATGGTTTTCGCGTCGATCGCGAAATCTCATCGTAGCGAGCAGTTCTTTCGTAGGAAAGATATTGTGCGACTTTTAAATGAACATTACCCGCTCTGAAATGGCTCAGAAATGATGAAACTATGGGAAGATAAAAAAAATCACGGTGAGGTGCACGCTGACACCGATAAGCAAGTGCAGCGTGTGGATTCTTGCATCCAGACTGCGTGATCGCAGAGCCACGCGGTGGCCGTGTGCCATTTTTGTCGCCCTCCACCGAACTTGGTGGATGGTCATCAACAATACGCAATATATTGTTTTCTTTTTAAACTAAAATATTTTTCATTTTAACCAGGTAAGGCCCCACTGAGCTATACAGCTATTTTTCGGAAGCGGCCTGGCTATCACAAATGATAACTCAACGAAGTGGTTTATTATCGCGTGGAAAATTTACAGCAGCCAAATACTCGAGACACGTGTTTCTAAATGTGGAGGGAAAACCCAGAAGACCCGGAGAAAAATCCACGCGACCACGGAGAGAGAAACATGCAAACTCCAAATATACAGCAGCAGGCGTCAGAGTCGGGATCAAACCCACGACCTCCTGTATACCAGGCGAGGCAGATAACATCTCGCCAGCGCCACAGCTGCAGCGTCGGGTTGTCGTGAAGACCCCAACGGTGGAGGTTGGCTGCACAGAGACCTTTCCCTGTCTGGAACCTGTTCAACAAGGCACCACTGGCGGTGTGGCAGGATGGAGCCAGGTTTTACAGACTGTAAGATCCCCGGATAAGGAAACAGTTTGGTGCTTATTTTCCCCTCCATTCCTCACGCCAGCTGCTCTCTGCCAAGCAGTGATCCTCCCAGCAAACCGAATAAAGGCAAAGCATTGACTAGGGAAAGCCAAATGGGCTTGGGGTAAGCGACGATAGTCGAGACCAGTGACAGAACGGTGACCCGCAGAGATGGAGCGATGAGATCAGGGTCATGAGCCGCAGACTGAGGTGGAGAGGACTAGCAGCACTGGACTACGAGGTACCGGCCACGGCGTGGGGGAGGCCGTCATCCACCAGGGGAGAGAGATTACGGCTCGTGATAAAATGCTCCAAAAGAACACACGAGTCCGGACTAGAATTAACGGCTCTTCTTCTCTCGTAGGCTCCATCCCTGGCTGCCCCCCCCCCACACGGTTCAAGCTTCGTGGGAAAATTACCATTTTGGAGTTACAGCCAGAAGCGCCATTATAGCTATCGCACATCTGTCTTCAAGAAAAACTATTCATGAGCTGGTTGGGTGTATTCCTAAAAATGTTTTTGTTTTTAGTTCACAAAGCTTAAGGGGGGCTCCATCGTGGCTGTGATGCTCAGTGCCATTGCACTGACTCTCCCAATTCCCGTGACTTTCACAATCAGAGGGGATTTATTTCCTTTTGTGGTATCGATTTAAATCACTTGCAACGACCAGTAAAAAAAAAAATCGGTCATCTGTTTTGCCGCACGTAACCGATGAGTCAGCCGCCAGTGCCTTGCGGTGGCTGCCGTTGACTGATCACGCTGATTCGATCACGCTGAACCGCGTGCCGTGCCGTCGGAGCGTTTGCGCGAATCGGGTTTCGCACCGTAACTAAAATCATTGAACTGGATTCCGTCATCGAATCTGTGACTTTCGTATTTGAAAATGAATTCCAAATACAGTAACAGCAACAAAAAACTTACAAAAAAAATACGATTAACATTGTATTTTTTGCATCGTTTCTAGTTTGTCTCGTTAGCGGAGATTTGTACACTCTTGTGGCCAGTTCCCCGAGAACACGGATTTAGAGAAATGAACGGCTGCATCATTCGGGTTGCGTCTTCCCTTTAAATCGCCTTCGAGTGTCGCGGGGGGAGGGGTAACAAATGTGCAAGACACGAACTTTAAAGTCAACTTAGGCCTGAGGTTTTTCACCACTTTGTACAACAACAACAACAAACACGACAGCAGCGATATTTCCCATTCTTTCCACGCCAAAATTAACCACATTTTTTCTCTGGGCCCTTCACCAAGAGGGACCCCAAGCCGGTCTGGGTACAATTGTGGAGTTGTTTTTATTTGGGGTGGGGCGGGGACAAGTAGCCATGGGGGAGAGCCATGTAGAGTAGCCAAGGGGGGCCCATGTAGGGTTTTTTTTTAATATGGAGGGGGCACTGCATATGATTTGCTCACTCCTGTCATAACGTTTTTGGGGGGGTGAGGAGTCTCCTCTTTGCCCTCTGTGTTGCCAATACCATGGTAGTGGTAGCACCATGGGTTGGTTTTGTCTTCGCTGTCTAGCACGCACTGGTCACAAATTGTACAAAACACTGCTGTGAAAAAGTGCTGCACCCAACAGATAGCATTAGACCTATTCCCAATCCCTATCTTAACCCATCCCTTTTCTTCCCCAAAGATGTCTTTTATACTATGAACCATGCGCATCATCTCCCACAAAGTACATTTTGATTGATTGTTGCATCAATTTTCAGAGCGGTATTTTTTTCACTGTGGTATGCAACGTCCATGGTCTGGCCCACACCGACTAGCACTGGGCCTTCTTGTTCGCCAGGGAGCTTGTGGCGAGATTTTCAACTACCTCACCTGGTATACAGGAGGTCGTGGGTTCAATCCCGACCCTGACGCCTGCTGCTGTATATTTGGAGTTTGTATGTTCTCGCAGTGGTTGTGTGGATTTTTATCCGGGTTCTCCGTTATTTTCCCCTCCACATTTAGAAACACGCGTTTAGAACACACGATAAGCCACTTAGTTGAGCTATCATTTGTGATAGCCAGGCCGCTTCTGAAAAATAGGTATATAGCTCAGTCAGCCTTATCTGGGAAAAAAAAGTTTAGTTCCACGAACTATTACATTTTTTCGGAATAGTTCGTGGAAACCTTGCAGCCAATGTGGCTCGGAGAGAAGGTGAACCGTTACATCTCGGGGTTCGTTACACACTGAAGATGTTCCTGCTTGTTCGTATACTGGAGTTGGACATATGATGAATAGTCACTGCCATTACATGATGTGGTGTGCTGGGTACACACCACCCTGGCCAGACCCGACAGAACTTAAGCCCGGGTTGCATCCAAATTAAACAATAATTGGAACACAAAGGCAGTGTCCTGTAGTGGTGGTGATGCACCAACGCTGGGCTTAACCAGACCCGTTCTACTGTTGAGCCACATCGGCCGGTGATGCCACAGCCATCACGTGACAGATAATTAATCCACCTGTAACAAGTCACCTGGGCTTCTGATCACACAACCCAGAATGCACTCGATCCCCTTAGATGTTAAGCAGAGTTGAACCTGGAGAATACATGGAAAGGTGACCAGCTTGCATAACTGGTGTCATAGCCTGGTGGGACGCTATGGGCAGTGGCAAAAGCCATCGTTGTACCGCACCTTTACGCTGCCACATCTATGTTCCCCGCCTTCACCAACCTGCACTGACCAGCGTGGTGAAGTATGGTCAAATAATCCTCTTTTGGCGGTTGACACAATGAGCTGTACGTGTACATGCATCGCGTTAGACTGAAAACCCCGAGGTGGAGTTTGTAGCTTCAACGCAGAGACACAATCCGGCGCTCAGCACAGCGCATGAGCCGTTATAAAAAGGCATGTCAAGATGAACAAGTTGGATTAAAGTCGATTCTTAAACTCGTGATACATGCATCCCGCAATGTGTGCCAGAATTTGATCATTTACAATGTATACAAACGTTGACTTTAGGCGAACAAATGGTTCCACCCGACAAGACTGTGCAGATGGGACGGAACGAGACAAATTATTCTTGAATATCGAATCGTGATCCTCGAAATCGTGACAATTTATCAAGTTGTGGGTTTGGATGGGAAGGGTGTGTGTGAATGGTGGTGGAGAATCATTAAATGCCTAATTATAAATACACTGTAGGTGGGATGTTTAACATCAAATAGTCTCCTGCTGTGGCATTGCAGTTACTAGCTGTGGCCAACTGGTTATCCTAACTCTACTCCCTCAACCAAGAGTGGTAGATCAGTGGAAGTAGGTGCTACACACCACCAGCACTCTGGAAAGAGGATGTGTAAAGTGACAGCCTCCCCTAACCTTAGGTTTACAGCTGGCTGGCCGGCTGGGGGAGTTAGGTCACAACTCGTACTGTCTGCCGCCGGCAGGTCTCGGAACCGTTTCCAATCTACGTTTCGTTTTTCATTCAGAACGGCGGTGTATTCACCGTGTACCGCCACGGTTTAGTTCCAACACCGGTGCAGTCAGCGCAGCTTGTTGGGAGGCGTAGGAGTGGTGACAACTCTGCAAGGTAACCCCCCCTGTAAAGCTCGGGCGGGTTGTAGTGACTACCCCACACCCCAACGTCAGGGATAAGGACAGTTTAGGGGATTGGAGCAACACCCTGCAGGGATCTCCTCCCACGGCATTCCGCAGTAGCATCTATGTCCCAGACATTTCATCCCAAGGCAGCCGCAGGACAAACTGCCCCATGCCCCACTGCCAGAGGGGGCTGAGCGCTGTTGCATCTTGACCCTAGCAGAAGGGCGACGCGGTGGGGTCAAACGCCTTGAACATATCCTTGAGTGACGTCTGGTCTTGTTCGTCCGTTGTTCCCTTGTCATTATCCTTCTCGCCGTTACCGTCGCCTTCACCGGCGTTGTCTTTGGCGTGGCTGTCGGCCCCGTCTGGCGCCGGCACGGGCGCCCCCAGGGCCTGCTTGCTCGGCTGCCTGGGGTCAATGCCGTACTGCGGCCTGATCATGGGCAGCATTGGCAGGTTGTGCATGGCCCCCGGCTGCGCCAGCTGCTGCGTGGGCACCACCGAGGGCCGCAAGCGCGTCTGGCTGTAGCTGTTGTAGCGATCCTGCGCGTCGCCCGACCCCTCCGAGCCAATGGTCTCCAGCACCGAGCGGCGGACGAACGCCGCGTCGCCCTGCGCCTCGCCCGGCGGCTGCTTGGTCTTGGGTATCACAAAGCGCCGCGGCTTCGATTCCCCGTCCGGCGCCGCCGCCGCCGAACTCGCCTCCGCCTGGCCCTTCTCCGACTCCGTCTCGGCCGCGCCGCCGCAACCCGCGGTGGTCACCGCGGGTTGCGGCGTGCGGGGGTCGTACAGGTTGATGGAGCTCACGATGCTGCTCTGCCCTACGGCCGACGTGAGCCGTGGGTCGTACGGCGCCAGCGGCGTCGTGGGCGACTCCGCCTGCGCCGCCGCCGCCCGGTCCGGCGAGCCGGACGCCCGCAGCTCATTCGCCAGCGTCTCCACCACGGCCAGCTTCAGCAGCCGGGGGTCGGCCGCGGAAGCGGCGACGGCGCCGGCCGAGGCCGCCGAGGGCCCGACCGAGCCCTTGACGACACGAGGGTCCGCGGGCCGCTCCGCCGCGCCGCCCGCCCGGCCCAGCCGCGGGTCGGCGGGCTTCGTCTGCCGCACGACGAGACGGGGGTCCTGCGGCGGAGACGGCGCCGCCTGCGCACGCATGCGGGGGTCCGCGCCGGCCGCCGGCGCCGGCGCGGCCGCTTTCGCCGGCGTCGGCAAACGGGCGTCGAGCGGGGGCAGCGGAAGCGGTGGCAGCGCCGGCTCCGACTTGGGCACGGGCAAGGGGATGAGGTCCTCCGGCTCCCACAGGACGAGGCGCGCGAAGTTGGGCTTGGAGAGCGACAGCTCGGTGCGGATGTGGCTGAACTGCTTGAGCTGCGAGCGGGGGTCGCGCTGCTGGGCGCCGGGCGCCGGATCCAGCGGGATGGCCACCGCCTTCTCTCGCAGCTCCCGCTCGCCGTCCTCGTCGTCGCCGGCCACCGCCAACGCCACCGCCGCCGCCGCGGGCGCCTTGCGCGCGCCGCCATTGTACGCGTCCTTGGGCGTGCGGCCGGCCTGCCGCGGGTCGGCCGCCCCGTGCGCCAGCCGGGGGTCGCGGCTGGACGCCGCCTGGCCGTCACCCGCTTGCTTGAGGCGAGGGTCGGCCGGCTTGAGACGTGGGTCCTGGGCTTGCGCGGAGCCGGACTGCTTGTGCAGCCGTGGGTCCGCGGCGGAGGAGGGAGTCGCGGGGCCGCCGGGCCTTTGCTTGGCGTGGGTCTTGAGCGTCTTGAGGATGGAGCTCACGCCACCGCCCCCTTCCTCCTCGTCGCTCGAGTACCAGCTGACACCTTCTGCCACACGACACGATGCCAACAGTCAGCACGAGCCGGTGTACGCGCGAGCACGATTGGATTACACACGGGCAGGCTTAAATCGGGACTAGCTTGCACGCTGGCAGGCTTGGAGACATGCACACGGGCAGATACCCTGGCGTGTATGTACGCACGTGCCCAGGCATGCTTGTCTACGGACAAGTTTACACACTGGAATGGTGACATGCAAACATCCTTACACATGGGTAATATAACACAACAACTGCCATTCACCACTAAGTGGCGGTGACATCACCACGGCACACATTCTTATATTCACGACACACACACACACAACAACCCACTTATACGAACTCTTACCCAACAACACCCTGAGACACAGCCAATTACACACGGATTTTTACACAGACACTTATCCCGAGCCTAAGCAGTGAGTATAGCTCACATCTTGCATTGCAAATGTGACAGAAACACTAAACGATGATCGTGTCAAAATCTTTTTAGTGCACATAAACACAATTTCTACTTTACCGCTTACTTTAAGAAGTTTATAATCTCATTTACTCTTCTGTAACGACCATGCAACATTTGTGTTGTGCTATGTCTTCCTGCACCGCTTCAGGGTGGAGCAGGGGTGCTGTGGTTACCACACCGGCGAGTGGTATCGGACCAGGTCCTGGGCTCTCCCCAGGACCTGTTCCGATGGACCAGCACGGACCAGCACGGTGAATCGTGGCCAAGAGACTCAATATCAACACTGCGCGGGGAGGCCTTCATCCAGCAGTGGATTGACAAAGGGCTGTACATGTGCGAGCGAGCGTGCGATCGTTTGCCCTCACCCTCCTCCTTGTTGTGCTTCTCCTCGGCCTCGGCCGCCCTCCTCGCCATCTCCTCGCGCTCCTCCTGCTTCTGCTGGATCCTCATGAAGAGCGCTCGCTGCGCCGCCGGCAGGAAGTCCGGAACCGCGCTGGGGACCCCCTGCATGGGCCCATCGGGGCCCATCTCGCCCAGGGAGCACATCTCGGCCTCGACGCCGCCGACGCCCGCGGCGCCCGCCATGGGGCCCGCGGGCCCCATCGGTCCCATGGGGACGCCGGAAGGTACCGGGGGTCCCAGCGGGGGCATCGGGCCACCCCCGACGCCCTTGCCGAACATCTGGGCGAGCTCGCCTTCGCTCACGCCGGCTTCTGGCATCGTCTCTGTGGGGCAGACGCGGAGGCAATGGCCGTGAGCGGGTGGCGACAATCATTCCTGCTAAACGGTCACGTGGTGGCAACGTTGAGCGACGCAGGTCACTCTTGCAAACGAGAATATCCTTGGTCTCTTGAGTTCTCAGCGGGTTAAAGCAAAATACATTTGGAACTTGAAAATCTGCTGTGCTGGGTAAATGCCACTGTTGAAGAACCGGAAAACTTGTTCCTTCCCGAGGGCCGAATAGGACTTTCAAATAACGTAGGCGGGCCACACATTAGCACACACCTCAGTCACTTATGTTACCATATGAGGCCCTTGCAGTGACGGATATCAAGTGTTGTTGCCAGGTTGAATATAATCTCCCCCTCGTACCCAATTAATGTGCCGAAAACGATTGCCGAGATGGATAAATCTCACTTATGGTCAATTTTAAAGTGGTGGTTCCCACGTGGCCACGGGGCTTGCAGGCTTCACATGCCTGGACTATAGGATCCCCCGAGGAGCATATCCATTCGGAGTGTGTGTGAGAATCAATGATTTTCTTTTGTAATGGGTTCACGTGAATCCCCTGAATTACTAGAAATGTTATGGAGTCAAATTCTTGAGGTGAATTGCGGCTGCGTGCATATGTGCGCAGGCACGAACACAGACATGCGTGCACACGAACGCGCAAGCACAAACAGACGCTCGGGCCCGCACGGGCAGACAACCCCAACACACGAGGATGCGCAGTTGCACTCGCGAACACGCACATCGTCCAAGGAACGTGTGCGTGCGCAGACAATCCAACACGCACGAACACACAAGCACGAAGCACGCGCGTGGACAGAGCGACGAACGTGCCCGAATACACACGAACCTGCGCTTTCCTCCGGTGGCTTGCTCTGCATCCTATGCTGCCCGAAGAATGACTCCAGGAAGCTCGCCACACACGCCGCCTGGTTTGATTGCTGCATGTGCATCTGCTGCTGCTGCTGCATCTGTTGCTGCATCTGTTGCTGCAACTGCTGCTGGTGGTCCGGGCTGCCCATGGCGTTGACACCCATTTGCCCGAGTGGGTTTAGTGGTCCCATCGGTCCCATGGGCCCCATGCCCATTGGGTGGTTCATGGGTCCCATCTGGTTTAGCATGCCTCCCATAGGCCCCATGGGACCCATGGGGTTCTGTGCAGGGTTCAGACCAGGCGTTCCCATCCTCTCGGGAGGCATGGCCATCATCTCCCCGCCACCCGGGGTACCCATGTTCTCCGTGCCTCCAGGCGGAACCAAGCCCTGCATGTCCACACCAGGTCCCATGTTCTGGCCCATGTTCTGGCCCATGTTCTGGCCCATGTTCTGGCCCATGTTCTGGCCCATGTTCTGGCCCATGTTCTGACCCATGTTCTGACCCATGTTCTGGCCCATGTTCTGGCCCATGTTCTGGCCCATGTTCTGGCCCATGTTCTGGCCCATGTTCTGGCCCATGCCTTGCCCCATGTTTTGGGGCATTCCCTGACCCATATTCTGGTTAATGTTCTGACCCATTCCCTGAGCCATATTCTGGCCCATTGCCTGTCCCATGTTCTGGCCTCCAGCTTGTCCCATATTCGGACCCATATTCTGGCCCATGGGCTGGCCCATATTCTGACCCATATTCTGGCCCATGCCTTGCATCATTTCTGGCCCAACAGGAGGAGGAGGCTGCATCATGTCCGGTGTGCCCGGCCCTGACATGGCCATCATGTCTGGACTAAGGCCACCCGGCCCCATTCCAGGCCCAAATCCAGGCCTAATTGGTGGTCCTGGCCCTGGGAACGGAGGCCGTGGCTGGTTTGGTCCAGGGAAGTTAGGCCTGCGGACAGAGAACACCAAAAGAGTCAGATTGTGAAATACATCAACAAACTCTCCCAGCATGTGGCAGAATAACGAACCACATCCAGTTTGATCGTTGTCTAGGTTTTTGGAAAATAAATGTGAAAATCTGGTATGGAGTCATTTTAAGTTAATTTGATTTTATATAGACTTTGCCAAATAACAAATACACTTGTTGAAGCAGCAAACTTCTGTGACGTTTAAACTTCTCTACAGTCTCATGAGCAGGGCTTTGAGGCCTGTTAAACAAAATGCTGTCACAGGTTGCCCAAGAGCCCTTCATGATCAGTGGGGCACGTTCAGCACATGTGAATTGTGGTTCATGACGCACAATCCAATTCCTTTTAACAAGTGTTATGGATGTGGGGACGGTGGGGGGGGGAGACCGGAGCAACCAGAGAAATCCCAGCATGCACTACATCAGTTGACGTTCAGTCAACGCAACAGCCCAGAGACCGGTTGGTTGGCAGTCTACTCGCTTAAGACCTGCTAAACAGTTGCAGATATCCGTTCCGAGGACACAAGTGGAAACCGCAGCAGATTGTGCGTACCTCCGGCAGCCCAGTGAAGGCCGACTGGGATCAGAATAATGAATTAAAGAGTTGAACGAGAGAAAGTTACATCGTATGCATTTTGAAAACTAAACCTGATCATCAAAAATAGTATACCAAAGTGCATGAGGAAAAATATGTTTTTAAATCAGCCTATGCTCAAATCGCCCGGAATGGCCAAGATCTATTCAGAACTCAGAAGCTAAACAGAGTTGGGCCTGGATAGTGCTTGCTTGGATGGGCGACCATCATGGTGTTAATGGCTAGTGCGGGCCTACCCGTCCAGCGCAGCAACATCCTTTGTTGGTACTGTACTTCTACGCTCCCGCATCTATTCCTGCCAAATTCGCCAACCCGCACTAACCAGTTCGGGTGAAGTATGGTCAAATAAGTCCAAAGACCCTCATCTCGCTAGAGGCCTGACAAAATAGGCTGTACACGAGCATGCACGAAGCAGACCGATGACGCAGGCAACCGACCGACACTGAGAACGAGAAGAAACACAGAAACCCACGCTCACCGGACACCCATCTTGTGCGCCAGCTGTGCCGTCGGCTGCACCACAATCTCAAACAGCGAGGGGATCTTCTTGTTCCCTTGCTGCTGCTGCTGCTGCTGCTGTTGCACTTGCTGCTGCCCCGCTTGTCCCGGTGGCCCCGGCAGCCCGGGCGGCCCCGGCTGGCCCGTCGGCGGCGGAAGCGGTCCCAGAATGCCCGACGAAGGCCCCGGGCTCAAACAGTCCTGATGCGACGGCGAAAGCGGCTGCTGCTGGTGCGTCGGCGACATCTGCTGCACCGGCAGGCCGGAGGAGCCCTGCTGCTGTCCGCCCGCGCCACCCGCGTTGAAGTTGGGCGTGGGCAGCAGGCCGACTCCCGGCGGCGGCTTCGGCAGCGGGGTGATGCCGAGCTTCTTTAGCTCCTCGAGCTCCTTCTCGTCGTCGGCAGCGCTGGCCTCCACCTCGTTGCTTAGCACCTGCCAAGCGCAACGGCCATCGTTGCTCTGCATTACACGCTGGGCAAAGTGGGACGGACAAAACGCTGTACATGTGCTGTGCGATTAGCCACGCACACCACTTTGGCCGCTCGCGATGCGATCAGCAGAGAAGCCGGGGAGTTGAGCCAGACCCAGAAACCAGAACCGATGACTGGAAATAACCCTTAAATTTGTTACAGGTTGGGAGTTTGCAGCTGAATGTCGAACCGAGTTACCGGTGCGAACCGGTTCAGAGAAGTTTTACATCGAAATCGATGCTGTCAGCAGCTGTCACTGCATGCTGCACGCTGTCGCGAGCATCTCAACAATAAAAATGCTCTTCTCCCCGCGGATTCCTGACTCCACGTGCGAATGCCGAGGGGTGGAGCAGTGAAACACGCACAGAACACACCAAACCGGACACGCAATCGATTTGACTCCCTGGATAAAACACGGACATCAATTATATAATAAAATTGAATCTGTTGATATGGCTGGATCACCTGGAATGCGCCTTGTGTCTTGACAGAGCTTGGAGGCTAAGCTAGTGAGCCTGGATGGTGGTTGGATGGGTGACTACCATACACAACACCGGTGCTTGTCGGCTGCTGGGGGACTTTTGTCAGCAGAGGACAGCACTGCAAAATGAATCATTGTACCGTACTATGCTCTGACATCTGCGCTCTTCACCAACATGCACCGACCAGGATGAGTGGGTAAGGCCAAATAATTCCCACAACCGACGCGGCACGGGGAGGCCTTCATCCAGAAGTGAACTGACAAAAGGCGCTTGACACACATGCATATCCCAATCATTTTACACCTTTGACCGTTAACTCAGAATCATCTTGCCACCATGGTCATGTGCAAACGATGGCCAGCTGTGCCCACAATGGGCTCATTCTGTTTCAAATAAAGTCTTAATGAAAATTTAAATTAAAACACTTGCTGCGTCTCTACGGTGCTGTGCTTGAACTGAGACTGAACTGGTCCGCCTGTTGCATGCGGCTTGCGAGCGGCGGTCTGACCACCTCTGGCTTGTGTGTTCGTGACGGGGCCTCACCTTATCAAGTATCTCCTTGGTCTCCTCGGTGAGAGGGTCGTGCGAAAACTTGCAGTTGTCGCCCTGGAAGCAGGTGACGCCCATGTGAAAGTAGCGGCATGGGTAGTCCTGTGCAGCAGGCGCCGTTAAGGAGCTATCGGCAACGTCGTGAGTACAGGGCAGGCCAGCAGAGCTGAATTTCAGCTGGGTCTGTATGGGTCAGCAACCCAGAATATTATTCTGCACCCGGCACATCAATTGCGGTATGTCTCTCACCATGACAGTGGCTATGAGTGGACATGCCTACTCTAGTCTACCGGTTATAGGTTGTCATTCCAGCCTGATGTGGAGCTATGTTACGAGGCGGTTAGCACAGGGAAGTGCTGAAAAATCCACTCGTGTACCGATCTCCCAAATCTCCCAAATCTACACTCTCTACGCCTGCACGCCAACCCACACTGACTGGAAGGCATGGTAAACTCTGGTTAGATAGCCCTCATGGGCCTACATGGCGCGGGTAGGTCCAGATTAACAAAATGCGATGTACAGACTTCTCCATGATCCAACTAGTCTTCTAAATCACAGGTTATATATTCCCGATTACTCATTATGTCCCCTATGAATGTGTTCACTATCATTCACTGGGGTGGAGTGGTGGCGCAGATGGACAAGGTCAATTTCCTACCTTGTATTAAAGCATTACTTACTGTTTAACGTCTTTGCGGATTTGGCAAGGGTTGTGTAATTTTCTGCCGCTTTTGCTGGCGAATTTGCACATCCCCTCCCTGCAGTTTCCTCCAACTACCGCCGCCGCCGACGGTCTTGGGCTGCGGTCATCCTTGTAAAAGAGCTGCCGAGCTCAATGGGCCTTAACCAGCTGAAATAATAAAGCATGATTCTACCAATGACACTTACAAGGCCCAGCATGCCGTGCGGCACGCTACTGGGCACAGACCCAAGCAAAAGGATATTGTGCATGAAGAGGCAGAAATCTCCCTTGACGCAATGTCCGTTCTGGTAGAACTTGCACACCTCCCGCTTGCGGTTGGGCATGTCGTGGCTGTACTGGCAGTTCTCTCCCTGTGCAGAGGACGGGAGACAAAGACAAGGCCACTGGTGAGACCTTGGGGGAGTGCATATCTCGGCTTTGTAACCTTTGCCCTTGGGTGTGCGCACACAGAGCGGCCGAGCGCTAAATGGAAAACAAACGGCAGCGTCGTCGTTGGAACATGATTTACAATCGGAAGGTCGCTAGTTCTCAGCCATGATTTGGTGCCTTCACGGGAGCGAGGGTGGGGTTAAAATGAGTAGCTTTGTGGGAAGTCAACGCAGCCTAGGTACGCATCTACAAGGGCTGTGCGCTTTTAACGCTTTCCGAGGTTGAAACCACCTACGGATGAGCTGTTGTTGTAATGGTGGGAGGGGGCGGGGGGGGCCTGAGTGCACTTTCGCTCTCGCAAAGATCATCCAATCCGAGTGAAAGGTCAGCGTAAGATTGTCTTGCTATTCGGGGCAAATGTGAGTCAGAAACTGGCCAAATTGATCAAAGGGTTTGGCCCAAAAGAAACAATTCGGAGCAAAAAGGAACAAGTGCAAATATGCATACGTGCTTTCCCCTCACAGCGACCCATCGGATTCCGCACTGCTAATTAAATTCCCGAAGACAAACGCGTGTTGGTGTTACAAAATCCACACGTGAGCTTGTTTTATTCTTAACTTGTTTTGAATTGCGTCTCTTTTTGAGTGGAATATGAGTTTCTGCGAGTTAATCAGTTCAGATCAGGTCACATTCAACGGACCAGTATTCACGTGGGCTTAATACATCAGGGTTAAGTTTGGGTTTATTAGGCCATGGGTCCACGTGGGTCAATTGTTCAATTGGGTGTATCAAGTCAGAGGTTCTCGTGAGTTTGACGTGTGTGAATGTAGGTTCATTAGCTCAGGGTTTCAGTTGGGTTATGTAGGCAATCTTCTATTTATTTCATTAGGGCATGGATCACGTGAATTACTTAAGTCATGACTTCATGTTAGGTCCCTTCTTAATCAGGTGAAGGATTTGTGTTTTGAGTTCATTCGGTAATATGTTCAAGTGGGGTTATCAGGTCATGAGTTCATTGGTCAGGGGTTCACATGGATTCCCGAAGCTATGGGATGATTACATGAGGTTCTCCATCAGGTCAGACATTCGTTTTCAACGACACGTGCCTATGGCCAACCGCTCTGGGCTGCTTCATGAACTCGAATCTCAAGAAGCTACCTACAACACATGGGGATACCATGCGTATGGGTTGCGAGGTGGCCAGGAGATGGTAGTAGATCAACGGATACTTGAATCCTAACCGTGCAGAGCATCGAGCGTCCGTGTGGAGGACTTTCTCCGTATACTCGAGGAAATTCCCACACTAATAAAATTGGCCAAACATCTCAATGCAGGACACTCATGATAAGCTGCCTTGAGCATCAGTGAGGCCTTCTTGTGTAAAATAAAGGGCATTATTGTTCATTATGAAGCCCAGAGGCATCATTCAGGGGGCCAAGAATCGAATTCTCCCCTTATTAGATATAAAATTCATGCATCACGTTTGTGGGTTCATAAGAATACATTTGGTCACTGTTCATTCAAGTTCATCGGGCAGCGGGTTTCTTTTTAGTCGATGAAGCAAGGGGTTCTGTTCTTTTACGTTAATTCGATCATGAGTTCATACATTTTGTAATTGTATCAGTCATTCGTTTGGGTTCATTCAGGGTCATTGTTGATTTTTCCACAAAATATTTTTTGTAAGTTCATTAGGTCAATGTTATAAGGTCAGGGGTCTAATTAGGCCAAGGGTTTGCACGAATTTATAAGGCAAAGGGTTCGTGTGGATCGATAATAGTAATTAATGATCTTTTCAAAAGTATTAATGTAGTGGCTTTTAGTGGCTGGAGGTATCACATAACCAACATTACATACAGTGCATACAAACATAGAACCGTCGATTCTTAAGCACCAGTCCAATGCATGTATCGAGAAATAAGGAATGGCCATTAATCGATGAATCGATGTACGGGCGGATCCCGACACATAAGGTCACGAGTCGATAAGGGCAAGATTTGTTACTAGTTCTTTAAGCCCAAGTAGGAGTTCATACGAGGTCATAAGATCATGGGGTCATCCTTGGTTTATCGGCTCGCACGTTTTTTTGGGTTGACATGTTCGTGGGGCCAGGGTCCTCGTCCTTGTGCTTTCATTGGGCCATGCTCCGTTGTACCCCACTGTAGGATCGTAGAAATGTTCATTCATATGCGCACAAAGGTGAGTGGATTCTCAAGAGATCACTAGGTCAGGGAACTGTGCGCGTTCATTTGGTCAAGCTTCCTGACTTCACGACGTCAGGGGTATGTGATTCATGTAAGTACATTAGGTGACGATTTACACAATTTCACTTGGCCAGCAGTTTTGGCTGGGTTAATAGGAATGCATTAGGTCGAGCGTATGTGTGGGTGCATCGCAATTCATTAGGTCATGGTTCATAAGAGTTCATTAGGTAACGATTCATGTGAGTTCACTAGGTCATTAAGTCTTGTTTATGTGAGTTCCCGAGACCTAGAGTTGCACAGTGCGTGGTCAGATATGAACTTATGCATCAGGTTCATGGATTGATTGGCGGGGGCGTGAGAGTTAATGAAATCTAGATTTCTAAAAGTTCATCATGGTTCACAAGGTCGGCGAGTTCAATAAGTCAAGGACTGCGTGGTTTCATATGCATCCATCAGGCCAGGATTTAAATAGGTCACAGATCGTGTGCTTTCATGCAGGTTCATGTGCTGTGGACCATGGGTTTATATGCTCATTAGGCTATGGGTTCACAGGAGTGCATTCAGTTATGATTTCATTAATTCAGTGGGTTGTGGGTTTAAAGGACATGTGTTAGAATATATCCAAGGATTTGCACTGGGTCACAGATTCCAAAGAACACAGGATGAGATGTTACTATCCTCACACAAGTTAATTAGGTGAGAAGTTGAGTACAAAGTCACGGGTCAATAAAGTTATTCGTTCCCACCCTCCCCCTGAGCGAGAATGAATTTAAATTCACACGATCACGGTTCATAAAGTCTGGGTTGAAGTGGGTTCATGAGGCCAGGGGTTGGTTGACTCGCGCTAGGACTTCATTACCGATGGTTCAAGTGAGTTGATGGTCACGAGTGCTCCGAAGTGATTATTTCTCTGTGTTTATCAGCTCAGATGTTCATTTTGGTTCACTTTTTTGTGCATTCATTATGACAGGAGGCATCATCATTCTTCTTGTGCATTCATTATGGTCACAGCTTGCATTGTGCACTCGTGTGGACAAGGGGGTTTTGTTTGGGGGGGGGGGTAAGATATTCATTTTTGCATCAGGTTCAGGTCTCAACGTCTTCTGCCGGGGGGGTGGGGGGGGTAAAAGGCAGGGTGGTGGTGGTGAGCAGTTTTCCTCTGCATGAATCGGCTCGGGGGGGGGGGACTGCTTCATGCATCAGGTCATACGTTCTATGATCTCTCTCGTGTCTCCCGGTCCCACGGCGCACACGACATCAGACTCGTCCCGCCAGTCTGCGGTGGTGGTTGGGGGGGGGGGGGGGTCTCACTGGGACCGGTGCCGTGAATGTATCGGTGCACGGCAGTGGTTGGGAGAGTTATGCTGTGCATCAGGTCATTAAGAATGATGTTTGAATGACGGGCTGGTGAGTTTTTAACAACTTGTTTTGTTGTTGTTTGATCCTGCGAATGCCAAAAAGTGAAAAAGGAATGGAAAGTGAGAATGGGGTCGGGCGAACGCTCCAGAGGTAGAGAATGGGGTCAGAGGTAGTGGCAGTGTTAGGGGCTGGTATTGCTGGTTTCGGTGGCACATGCCTTGTGGTGGAATGCTCTGAAGGCAAGAGTTGGTGGGTCATGTAGATTTAGGCTGAGGTGGCCAGGATATGGGTTTGTGAACTCATCTGTGCAGATCTTTTGAGTGTGCTTCACTGTTACAGGTGGGTACATGCCGGATACTCCCGTTTCCACCCACACGCCTTAAAATTGGCTTGTCCATACATCCCAAGGCAAGGCCCTCCGAAGAATCGTGCTACTCAAGTGAGGTTTTTCTGGACAAATCACATCACTGTTAGTTACAGCCAGGGGTAGCACTGACATCTGTATGGGCCACGGTGACTGTGCAAAAATTTAGGCAGGTGGTAAATTATCGCTTCATCAATTAAAACCGATTCTTACGCCCACGATTGTACGAATCGAATCATGCACGTAAGAATCAACCATTTTCTGTTTGTGCGAATGAAACGTAATAGTTACCCTCAAGCTACCGGAACAAGGTAGAACAAAAAACAAGACAGAACGAGACATACAATACAAATAGGGATGTAGAATAATCAATGCATTTAAGTCGTGATGCCAAATCTTAAAATTCAGTTAAGTGGCGTAGCTATCGAGTGTGCAGCCACAGGGGCTCGGCGGGCGGGGGGGGGGGGCATGCATCAGGCTATGAAGGAAGAGGGGAATTTTGGGCGGAACTCATTTCATTCCTTGCACCAGGGCCCCGTGCCAGCCACGTGACGCCGCTGCTGGGAATGGAATGAGTGAATCGCCCCCCCCGCTCCCGAGGGACAGCCTTGTGACTCTTTGTTCACTTTTCATTTTTTTGGCGTCCCCAATTCCCCCCCCACTACCCCTCATCACCGTGCATTTCTTATCGCATGACGAGGGGCTGTCGGTGGACTCAGGTCACTGTGCATCAGGTCATTGTGGTGAGGTGGGGAGGGGGGGGGGGCGGAGGGAGGAGGGATGGGTGGAAGGCCATCTAGCGGAGCACCTTGACACAGCGGCCCTCCAGATAGAACTTGCAGATGAGGTGCGCTGTGCTGCCCGTGTGGTTCTTCTTCTTTTTCTTGCGGGGCGGGCACACCATCTCGCCCATGTCCTGCGGAACAAACGTGAACCGTCAGTATCGAGACAGACGCACGCACACGCCCGCACGCCCCCACATCGCCGGTAACGCTCGTTTTTGCCGGCCGACGCAAACTTTTCGCGACGTTAAGACGTCGGGGTGGGCGACGATAGCCTCACCTCGTAGTGATCGTAGTGCATGTCCATGTCTTCCATGTGCTCCATTTCCCGCATGTGCAACATTCGGCCCCGACCACGCCCGCCTTTGCCCTGGCCTCTACCCCGGCCACGGCCACGCATCCTGGCGCCTGGGGGAGGGGAGGGTCGGTAAAGCAGCAGGAGGGGGAGGGAGCGAGTGGAGAACAGCAGCACGGTTAGCAACGAGCAGAAATTGGTCGGCATATAACGACACATCATCATCACATTATTATACGAATATAATATACAGCCCCTTTGTCAATCGACTGTTTGATGAAGGCCTCCCCATGCCGTAGAGTTTCCATATTTCACCACACAGTTAGCCATGGCTGGGGATCGAGCTCAGCTCATCGGGGTGATATATAGAATAACATCGCTTCTTACGCTCACAGTACATGTATCGAATCATGTAAGTCAGTCAATTATTAACAATTCAAGCTAATTATATGCAATTGATATGCCATTGTAAATTTTTTGGTCACGTATTGAGCAAACTTGAAAAATAAGACGGACAAAAACAGAAAGTAAAAATGTAAACGGTAAAATCAAGACTGATTCGTGAGACTTAATCACAGCCTGAAAGCGTGACAATTCACAGAAAATCTCCGGGGGAGGGCGGGGAGAATCAGCGCGCTCATTTGAAGCTTGGTTATTGGTGGGCGCGAGAGAATTTGACGCGACGGTCAGACACGCCATTGTGGCCCCCTCACCACGGTGGCCACGCAGATGGCCCTGGGACTCGCGGTACTGCTTGAGCTGGCAGGCAAAGTCATCGTCCTCCTCGCCCTTGTATTCCTCCTCGTACTCGTCAAACCTCCCCCCAATGCCGCCGCCAATGCCGCCGCCAATGTTGCCGCCAATGTTGCCAATGCCGCCGCCGCCGCCACCATCGTCCACCTCTACATCACCACCGCCGTACTCTTGGTACTCGGGGTACTCCGGCTCTGGGGGCTCGTCCATGTAGGGCTTGGGCTGCGTGGGACAGAGGTCAGAGGTCAGTAGGGATGAGGGTTGATTATTTATTATTCATCGTGTGTTCCCCTTTATTTATTGTGTTGATGATAACGATTTGTTCTTGATATGAGCGAACTACCGTATACGCCGGGGCATGTCAGAGCGCTTTACATCACGACTCATCTCAAACACATTTGAAATGGGACCTCCCAGTGGCACCCGTTCCTTAGACTGGTATTAATCTGCCAGTAGGTAACAATAATTGCTGTATACAAGACCAAATTGAATAATATTTTAACTTTTAACATTTCGACCACGACGCCGGTACACAATATCCTACTCTGACGAATGACGTCAGGGCATCTTTAATGGCCGCTGCGAAGCAGACTGCGCTCGGTACTTTAAAGGTTACACACCGCGGCCGATGAATTCGTAACGTGAACCTCTGCAACAAGCGACGACGACGCTACCACTCGGCGGCCTCGTCACCGTGTTGCCGATTACCCATCGGGTATTCCCTATTCCAGTGGTTCCCAAGCTGTGGTCCGCAAAGGCTGTGGGAAGTGATTCAAGGAGAAGCTGCCGATACGATTATTCAAAATAACAACACCAGATTTTTTTGACTGCAAGATGGTATGTGAAATTCTTTGGGAGGTTTGACGGTGGCCATATGGGTTCAGAGAGGTTGGGAATCACTGCCATATCATACAACGTATATGTCCAACCCTTTTGGCAATCCACTTTTAGCTGAGGGCCTTCCAAAGTGGGAGTTATTTTACCATACTTCACCAAGCTGGACAGTCTGGGATGTTAAAGAAAGGGAGTAGATATGGGAGAATAGACACAGTATCATAAGAATAATGTATTTCGCTGCACTGCCCTCTGCTGACTACAACATAACTCTATGGCAACCTATTGGTGCATGGTTGCCAACCAGAAAAGAGCCGTCTACGCTCAAAGCTGCTTAGCTCCCAAGGTCAGATGAGATCACGCGCATTCTGGGGGTGATTTGGTGAGAGGCTACACGAATGTTGGCCTTAATAATAATCTTTGTTTATCCAGTAAAGCCTAACTGAGCCTCAATACTTTATCAGGAGGATCCTTACAATGGGGGCATTTAGCCAATGCCTTCTTAGAAAAGGCACGCTTTTCACTGTGCGGGAGGAAATCCAAATCCAGTCTGGACAGATAGGTACAGGAACCCACTTGGTGTACTCCCTTGGGTGGGTAGTGAGGCTCGTAGTCCCTGTAGTTCTTCCTGTAGCCCCGGTTGTCAGCAGCTCCATAGTCCGACTCCTCGCTGTTTTCTGAAAACTCGTCGCTTGAAGGGGAGTGCCTCTGCAAAAGACGGCAAAAGCGACGTCATCATCACCACCACCATCCTTGTCCTTACGACCATAAATATCCTCGCTGTCCAGTAGTGCAGTTATCAAGTAGTGTGCAGGAGGTGCTACTGGACCGGGACCCACAGGCCCAAGCAGGGGAAATTGTACAGAGGAGCCAATTTAATTGAATGGCACCAAGGCCAAATGCATCGTTGCTATTCCACTGTCCGTGTCATTAATATTGAAACCGTATACCATCTCATCATAACCCTCAACATTAACATCATCGCGGGAACAACATTACCATTTGCCATCACCAGAGACATCCTTGTCATAGCCATCTTAAGAACAATAATCGTCATCACTACGATTATAGATGACGCTGATGGTTATGTTAGCCAACAAAACCGCCACCTTCATTACCATTACCAATTTCATTTCCATTCATCATCATCATCACCGTCAGTATCATAACTATCACCCTCATCATAACCACCATCAATATCATAATCACAAATTTCATTACCGATGTAGTTATCACCCTCAATGTACATCCTTGTCAACATGGTCATGAACACCTAACTCCATTCTAGACTTGAAGCTTTCGTGACTGCAAGGAATCATATTCTTAGGTGTTTTCGGTAAAGTCACATAGGTAAAACATCAAAATTATTTTATTAATTTTGATGTTTTACCTACGTGACTTTACCGAAAACACCTAAGAATATGACCCAACTCCATTGGTTACCAATGCCTGCCACCCCACATCCTACATGTACGTCTGTGTTGAATGGAATAAACTGTTTACATCATTAGCCGTAGAGCTGTGACTATTGCACCAACCCGGCCCAGGGAGCACGAGGGACCGCACCTTGTGTCCGTGTTTGTCCCTCCGCCGCCGCTTGGACCTGCGCTTCTCTTTCTCCTTCTCTTTCTCGCGCTCCTTCTTGCGCTTCTTGCGGGAGCTGCGGTGGCGCTCGCGCTCACGGTCCCGCTCGCGCTCGCGGCTGCTGGGGTCCCTCTCTCCGTCCGAGTCGCCCCATTCTCCTCCTCCACCACCGCCGCCACCGCCGCCACCGCCGCTTCCACCGCCGCCGCCAACCCCGCTGCCGCGGCTGCTGCTGCCACGGCCCCCTCGGCCACCATCGGGTGAGTGCTGCTGCTGCTGCTCAGCGACATCGTCATCTATCTCTCCATCCTCCAGCTCGCCCTCCTCCCTGCACGGTGAGAAAATATCCGTGGGTTAGCCTTTTCAAATGTATGGCAAGAGCTGTTCGTGATCACCTATTAAGGACGATTTGGCACACAAGGGAGGGGGGGAAGCTGGTATAGCCATCACCATGCATGCTCAGCCACTTCATCTGCCCACGCCGCACCAGATGTATGGTAGAGGGCCAGGATGGGTTTCAGATGCTGTGATGTTATCCGTGAGCCACTAATCAAACCCAGGATACCGGTTTCCTAGTGCAGTACGCAAACCACTCCGCCACTGCTGCCTTCACAAACACACGCACAGCCAGATCCTACACCAGCGAGACGTCAGGTGGACAATGTGTATGCCTATGGCGTCCACTGCCAACTTCTGACAGTTTCAGTCGTTTTATAGATCCCATTCATATGATGATGGTAAAGAAAGAGGGAGTTTGATCCCCCAAATAAGAGGGTGAACAGAGTGAACATTTCACCGACTGCTGGTGCAAGTGCTGTTAGCCAGCACCGATTTAGGCTGGAACGGTTAATAAGCAAGCAGGTGAGGTCCGCTCCGGGTCTGGCCACCTTAGCCTGCACAGTTCTAAGCTTATACACTGCACCAGGTTCTCATTTAAAGGAGTCAGTCTCAGGGAGGCCCTGGAACAGATATCCCTCACCACCGATTGGTAGCCCTGGCCAGGAATAGCGTGCAGTGCGCTAACCACTGTCCCACCGCTCCTCGTTTGTACACATACGCACGCTCTTACGTACAGCGATTCAGCAGGTGCGCAGGGTGGCACCCATCAAGCCAGGAATAATTACTCTTATCGAATAAAACTTCACTGACCCGTACTGAGCCAGCAAGTAGAAGTTGGTCAAACCCCCATGACTGACACGGTGAGGGGAGGCCTTCATCCAGCAGTGGACGTGTTAAAAAGTGCAGTAATCATTTAATCAAGTGCACGTTTTACGAGCATGATGCCGGTCACAATGGCCTGGCTTGCTTACTGCCGTCACCACCACAGCTGCGTGCATGCCCGGGCTAGCCTCCCACTGCCGATGACCGGTATAAATAGGTTTACACTACGCGCTGTTACATATGGATCAGAAAAGTAGAGCTTGACCAAGAAAATATGTTAACGCTACAAATCGTGCAAAGAAGAGGGAAGAGGCGTCTGCTTAGAATTAGAGGCAGGAGGAGGAGGAACACATGGAGTAGAAAATACAAAGATCCCCCGTAAAGCCTAAACAGACTGTTGGGGCAAGTGCTGTTAGTGAGCAGCACCTATGAAGGCCGGAACGGCACACGGGGGGTGGGTTGCCAACACTACACCCAGTCACCTTTGTCTCCCCAGTGGTGATGTTTACACACTGCACCCAATACTCAATTGAGGCCGAGTCGACCAAGGGGAGGCCCATGATCGGTTCAAATAATCGTCACTGGTGTTGACAGTAAGCGGGAATTGAACTCGGGTCGCCAGGTTTGTATTGCAGAGCTCTAACTGCTACACTACTGCGTATGTGTGTGCAGATAATACACACACATACACACGCACGTGAGAGACATTAGATTGACCGTAGGGAAACGTAACTGGGATTGGACGGGACTTTTCACGAGAGGGGATGGTGGCCTGTGGTCGAGACTAACAAAAGGGTGACGACGGAGAGATCACACGGATACAGGACAGGGTGACTGTCAGGGTGTTTGTAGAAGCACACGTCCGAGACGGACTATGTACGAGTGTGACGGCATGTTTGTACGAGTCTATTATATGATCCTGAGGGCATGCTTGATTGAGTGTACACATGAGACCGTGTGTGTGAGAAAGTGATTAAATTAGTATTGTATTACTGTGCGAGCATGTGTCAGCATATGCGTTTAGATGATTTATTTGCCTGCTATAAATGTACACGTGATAAGCCACTTCATTGAGCTATCATTTGTGGCCAGGTGGGCTTTAACTGGTACAAATAATGGTTTCGTTTTATTTGTATATATTATTTGTGAATATCTTACCTTTCCTATAATTTGCACTCATTGTTTTCATATCGTTTATTGTAGTAACGTTCTGAGCCCGTGCCCCTACTGTACATGTGTGAAAAATAGCTTCATAGCTCATCGGAAATCCTCCTCCGGTATGAACAAATATTGATTCATCTAAAAAAAAATTACGCACAGCTGGAATAAAACCGGAGTGATGATAACTAGAACAATGATGCCTCGGCAGTGACACCACGGCCTTACAAATGGCTCTCGCGGGAATAAAATCTTGCTCAAACGTTTTTTCCAAGACCTAATGTCAAGGCTACATACTACACGCAGTTGTGGGCTTAGCGGGCACAGCACGTCACGAACACGCTGGCTGCCACCGTCAATCATTATCTCGGCTCCCAACATCGCTGGCAATCGCCTATTTGTGGCTCGCTTGAAAACTTAAGAGGCTACAGTTGGGCGGCAGCGAACAAACTCACCCTGGCCCGAGAGAAAGAGGCACCGGCGAAAACATTCATGGCAACTTGTGTATTGCCCTCAATTAACGCAAGAGGACGAAGCCAGACGTGGGATACTGTAAGGAGCGGACCTTGTAAGTCAGATAACATAAAACTACAAAACTTAGCAGAAGGCATGAAGGGATAGTGATATGTGGCAATGTCGACAGAAATCCCACCAGTGACATGTTGCCCAAGACCTTGAAAATGTGATAACCTTTTTCAAATGAGTACTTTTCAGTATTTTTCTTGCGTTTTGTGAGGTTTTCAACATTTATCAATAGAATGTTGTGTAAAAGTTTTTTTTTTACAGAAGTCTACAGTGGTCATCTATGTATGTTCTCACTTATGCCATAGCAATGTAGACTTTCCACCACCGGCTGAGGGATGTAAAATATGAGATGAGTGTTGCTCCAAAACTCGTTTTTGATGTCAACCCACATTAACCCTCCAAATGTCTTTTAAAAAATGACCATTGTCAACTCTCTACCTGTGTTCACATCCAGGCTAACTGCTTCTAAATAATAAATGTAGACTGGTCCTGTACAGTACCTTGAGGCTAACGCTCAAAGGTACACACAACGGGTACACTAACCCACTTGCTGTACTGCCAAGTTGTGGCCACATCGCTGCCCGGCCGATTCGGGAGTTGCGTAAATCTGCGCGATGCGTTCACCTTTCCGTCTCCATCGCGGTGGATTGCAGCCACGTGCCGCCACACACGATCATAAATAATCTAACCTCTACCTGCACGATGCCACTTTTGCTTGAGGAAGGTGGGAATCGATTTGGATCGAATAATCGTCGCATGTCTGCCTGCGTCCACCTCCCTTGGTTGCATGGCCAACCCCAGATGGACTGGATACCATCGCCCGCTAACAAACTCTCAACCCCCCAAAAAGCTAATGTGCAATCTTGTATATGCACACCCATTGATCGTGACTTTAAAATCCTTTTTTACTATTTCAAATTCAGGTTGCAGTTGCAACGCCTGAACACTAAATAGCTACACCACTGACAGATGCCTGCAGTGCCCAATTTCAATCCAGAAGTCGGGCTCCGTTGGTCGTTATTCTGCAAGTGCCGCGACGTGTACGAGAGGTGAAACGATTCTCAAGAAAATTCGATTGTCAGGACCCAGGGTCACGATACGATTGAAGAATCCACTTCTTCATTTGGCAGTGGTTGCAGAAGTGCCAAGGATCCGTTTACAAACAACATACACCAATCGAAAAATATATCGATGATGACACACGTGAAAACATGCATGTACGGCGAGCTAAATAATCCACATTTATCAAATGTTGAATCGTTCAATCACGAACGTTGATGGCAGGAGTGGGGAACCTATCTGGGCCATGTCCGGCACAGGGAATTAATTTTATACAGCCATTCGCGATGCGAGGCCGACAACTTTGGAACGGCCCGCAAAATATATTGTTTAACATGTACTAGTGACGAATTGGCATGTTCTGTTTACGTGACAACCCTCATTAGTTGGCTGCGTCAGGTGGTGGCGGGTTTTAACGACAATCTATATATTTACGCGATCTAACCCAAAAAAAACTCTATTATGGAAAATATATTCTATCCGTCATTGCAAGCACTTTAGCAGCACTGATCAGGCACTGGAGGGGCATCTTTTCCACCAGGCAACAACGCTGCGTTTCCAATTTTAGCGCCACACCAATCACTTCTGTCACTGCAGATGCTTCTTGCAGTGACGAAAGTGGTCAAGGCGCAGTGCAGTTAATGCGTGGCCAGTCAACGTTAGTTAAAAGTTCTAAGCCTCGGCAAGCTCACCCCCATACCCCCCACCGGTCTACGCAGTCAGCTGTCCTCAGTTTAATAAACGTTGTGTTCTCTCTGGCTGGCAATTTAGCTGTGTAAATATTCCCTTTACACAACGACTGCGCAATTGTTTGTGGGTTCCGAGGGTTGCACAATGCTCGAGCATTCAAACAGATTTGACATTGGAACTCCCGAGCGTTTCCCTGCTCTAAGAGTCTTTGGTGGTACTCACCTCTTGCTGGTGGCTCATAACCGGTGGTGTCAACTCCAGGATTCGGTAAATTTACGATTGGGAGTTGAATGTCAACTCCATATTCGTATGAGAGGGACCAGTCTTTAAACAACTACACAATTTAACCCCACCTCCCATGCCATTGCCCCCATCTCCTGCAAGTGTCAAAATGTGAGGTTTTGATTCGATTCAATAATGTAAATAAACCTTTGTCCCATTTTTGTCTCAATTGCATTTCTTTGTTTGTTCTGTTCTTACGGGTTTGTTCATTCCACTCGTCTACGTGTAAAGTCGCACGTCACATATTTGAATTGCGTGACTGTAAATTTCTTGCACGCGCAAACGTCACGGGGAAAAATAAATGATTTAAATCGGTGAATCTACTCGTCGTTACACGTCTATTAAACAGCACACCGATAACCGTCCATGGTGGTACTATTTATTTTAGCGACCCCAAAAGCATAATGCCAATAATCAAATCCCCCAGGATGCGCCTAAAGGCATCAGACATCA